GAAATAGACTTCATCATTTTGAACATCTATTGAAATCATCTAGCATCGAAATTAGCCGTTCATACTCACAAGGTGTATATATGACTGTATGTGTAAGAAACAACAAAGATTTTCTAAACATACTCGTAAGCGAGAGGAAAATGAATAGAATTGGTTGATTAGTAACACAAGAAAATCGCTAACGGCCTACTTAACGACATTACAAACATATTTCTAATGATGAACACTTTTTGCCTTATTTCACTTGCCAATTACTTACAATATAACTAAATTACTATTAGATTCTTAAGTTTGACACAAGAAAAAAAAGCGATAACAGTAAATAGAGTCATCTATGATTGAATAAATAGTAAAATAGAATGAGTTTATTCCTCTTGTGTGACATAAGGCAATAGGACTACTGACTAATTACACCTATATGTGTCTATAATTTCTACTGGCGTCGTTTTTCTGAATTTTTTCACAAAGTTATACTTACTCGTAGAAGCACAATTTAATCGCATTTTATATTATTATGGCGTGAATGCAATAGAATCATCTATCGGCGAAACCGAGCGAGAGAAAAAGGAAGTCGGTGAAAAAAAATTGAAAAAATTGATGTTACCGTTGAATTTAGCGCATATTCCATTATAAAGGACACAAAAAAAAGACTAAGAAAAGTAACCTTCCACCTTCTTTTATTTTTCCATATAAAGTATCATCGACTAAAGTGGTATCGATCAACACAATGTCTTATCATTCATGTTTTTCTCTATCAATATACACAATCAACTAGCAAATTGACATTTCAAGCTTGAAACTTAGCTAGTGATGACAGATAATGATAGACAAAAACGAGATAGCTGAGAAACAGAAAAGAAACACGGAAACGACACATTGACGTCATGATAAAAGACATGGACAATTTGTCAACCAAAAAAGCCAACAATAATACTTTCAAGACTCAGAATGGTATCGTTGTGTGCATGCTTATTCCACGTGGATACAATTAAGCTTGATATGTGGCCATTGTATCTTTAGTACTCTTTTGATTTAGACTCGTGAATAATTAACGTGCCGACATTGTGTGAGAAAAATTAATAAACATTCCAAAAACAAAATGAAAAAGAATTAAATAGTTCAAGAACGCCCACGTTTCTTAATTACTATCATATAAACAAAAACAAAAAGAATTTCTCGTATGAATCAAATATTTGTTTTATATTTATTTCTAAATTTGACATAAGATCTATTGATGATTATGACTCAAGGGATTTGAAGGTTATGAAAAGAAAAAATAATAAACAATTATTGATCACTTGGGGTCGCTGTAACAATAGTTTTGATTGACAAGCAGAAAAATTTGCTTTTTTTATATATCGTACGATATTAATCAATATCAGAATAGAAGAAGAAAAAAACAACAGCAACAATTCAAAAAAATCAAATGTACTCACATTAAGTCATTGTCTTGTATCATTGATAGATAGAACGTTTCTTTCTTTTCCATGCTACCGGACAAATATGCAAGTATTCTTGTAAACGATAATGTCTTTCGCAAGATTAGGAGTGGTAATAGGAGAAGAAAGAGAGAAGCATTATCTGTATATCTTTGTTTTGCTATTCATGATCTACATGCATTAGGGAGATAATCTATGTTATTAGGCAACAATCAAGTCTATTCTATCGTCTATGGTGATGCTAAAAAGATAGTAGATGATATTTTTCTTAAATTTAAATTAAATCAGATTATAAACAGTTATTCGTCTGTGCTCGATACAGTTAATTATTATTATTATTATTATCAGTCAATAGTACTAAAATCGATTTAAAAGTTCATATTACAAACAAAACAGAAAAAAGAAGAAGAAATATTTCCATCTATGTTAATATCGATAGACAATCGGTCAAAACATAAACAGTCGAAGAATATAGTTTTGAAGTTAAAAAGCATTTTCTCTTTTCTTTCTTGTTGTCCATTAAATCGTTGATGAAATTTTCTTACTAGCAATTACTAATTCCTTTTTCATCATTTGCTAAAGATTACATAAGAGTATATCAGCGAGTATTGGCGGTAGAGAAAAACATAATTTTATTTTTCTGTTTCTATCCATCAACTGTCTTCTACGATCTGATACCATTTTAGAGTTTTTTATGTATTTCTAATGACCCCCAAGGTTGACGAATAAAGCAAATTAGGCATACCTTGTCAAGGCCACTTAGATTATAACAACAAGCACAGAACAAACCAAATTGTCATGTGTATGCCTATATCATATTTGCTAACTAACTAACTGATTGACTGACTGACTGACTGACGTTATGGCTCGATAGACGATCAAATAAGCAAAGAATAGAGAAAAGAATTTCTGTAGGCAATTCTTTCTTTGCCATCTAACACTATGCTCTCATTTAATAAACAACGTACACTTTGTTCTCGCTTTTTTTCTGTTTTTAGATCGATAGATATATACAGATATCAATATATATATATATATATATATATAAATTCATATTCTATTACTAGAAAACCAGTAATAGTCAGACATGCGAAACATAATCGTCATCGATGTCCTTCTTTTTTCTCATTATGCCAAATGTTTGATAAAGTAATATCCACGGCAATTGACACGCGTGCTGTATTGTGCGTAAAGCACAAGGTCTCAACATAAACACAAATATTTGGCGGTAACTGAGAAATTTCTCAACTACTTTGACAGATATACTGCAAATACTCGTTATTATTTTGTATTCTCTATTTGTTGTTTTATTGGATACTAGAAATATTAGTCGTTCACTTTTCATGTCTTTAACCTTGGTAAATTAATATTCAAGAAAACTTATTTGCGTTCATCATACATAAGATTTTGTTTTTGATAAAACATAGGAATGTTGAAAACAAAGACGAAGAAAACAACAAAGAACTTCTCCTATAAGTTATTTCATTTTCTTTGTTCTTTGTTTTTGTACTTAAAAATATGCAAGGAATGAGCAATTCAATGCAGAAAATCCATTGGATGAGATGATCATCATTAGAGATGACTAGAATGGGCGTGTGGGTGACGCTCGTCTTGATTACATTCGTGAATGCCAATTGCACATGATCTGGCCGATTATAAAGATTCGTAATTGAAATAAGATACCAGAAAAAAGGCATAACTATGGGCCTTACGGTACATCTTTCTTATTTACAGAGACATTTATATGTCTTTAGATAGACTACAAGGACAGTCATGACGAAAACATAAAATCCAATTGAAATGAAAACATATCAATTGGCAAAAACCTTCAACTATATTATACTGGCTTTTATTACGTTTTTTTTATCTTCAAATAGAATAAAATGAATAACAAATTGATTGTCTACTCAATCGGGCATACTTTGTATTTCTCTAAACAACAAATAACATTAAAAACACTAGTCAGTTTTGTCCCAATCTATGCTATTTGTCAAAATTAATTTGCACCTTTGTCTATCAATGAATTATATATATATATATATATATATATTTATGGTCTGGACAATGTTTTATCTGGCAACGATCACCATCATCATCAAAATCAGTTATGGAAAAGCAGATTGTAATGTTTTTCCTTAATAATTTTCTCTATTTCAATAAAACACAACTTGAATTATTAGTACTTTGAAGTCCGCTGATTTGGAACTGTTAAAATTAGTTCATCTAAATGACAGAGTTGAGAGTGCACACAGTTTTATACTTTAACTCAATTATTAAAAAAACAAGGATGATATTAATTGACAGCCATCAATTCGAATGTAAAACAAATTACCATTCTATTAAATAACTTACGCAAATGAATCGCAAAAAAAAAGAAAAAATAATCAAATAACAGAAAATTTTATTAAACGAGTGACTTGTAAAAAGTGCCTGTAAGAAAAAAGTCAATTACATAAGTCATTTTGTTTAAATTATTACTCAGTATACAAGATGAGGCAATTATAGATCAGAACTGAAATAGGTTCTATTTTAAGATCAAGTGTATTGATAGAACTATTGTTTCAACTTCTATGAAATACAATATAATTGTTTTTATTACACACAATAAGACTAACAATATCTATATTCATGTAAGTGTTTACTACACCGTTTACTACAAGCAGCAGGCGACACATGACAGCTATGTTGTTAACACCTAGTCTTGTATTCTAATCATTGATAATACCTCAACGTTTTTTCAAAGTTAGTTACGATAGAGAAAATTATCTGTCATAGCCTGAAGATATCAGAGGAATCTACTAATAACATCAATCAACACTATCAATATTTTGTTGATCAAACATAGAAAAAACAAACTATATATAAGTACTGACCTGATAATATGTGTTTTGACAGGTTAAACAATTGAGTCTAGAGTAAAAGCTTTTAATTAATTTCTTTTTTTCGTCTAAACAGCATATATTCCGTCGACTTGTGAAAGCCTGTTTAGCATATAACGGATAACAGTTATTTCCTGGCTTGATCTTTGTATAAATCGATATTTCTCACTTTTCTTTCAATGATATATTCCAAATGTTCGCTAAGTTCAGTCGCTGTTACTATCTCTCTCTCTCTCTCTCTCTTTCTCTCTTTTTTCTTTCTTTCTTCGGATTTGTCTTTCTTCAAGCACTATTCTGATTAACACTGATGTTGACTTTGACAAGTGTAACATATGTTACCAATAGAATCAAGAACTTCTATATTATCTATGCCATTAATTTTGTACACTGATATTTCCACGATGTACAGTGAGGAATAAACAATCGACAAATATCATTATATGATTAGCAGTGATGAGAAAAGGCTTTTGCGTTTTTTTTCTGGGTCCAATCTTCAAAATAGTTCTTTTATCCTTGCCTTCATATGTTGTATTTTCAAGGATGATTGCTAATTTTATCATCAGTTTGTTTATACATAGGCAATCGTTGAGAATGACAGCAAAAAAAAACAAATCACAATACACTACAATATCTAAGACAGTAACAAAAAAAAAGAAACAAGCGAATACAATGTTTTTAAATTTTATCTTTCTCCCGGTGTTCCATCACTATTTTCAATAGATATAGTTTTAAAACAGCCAGTTGGTAGCGATTGTGCGATAGCAAGTAAATTGTTAACTTGATAATCAAGTTCATCGTGAAGAAGAATAAATTGATCGGTTTGATTTTTAACAAAATAGGCACTTGAATAAAATTGATCAATAGCAACTAGAATTCTATCGAATGAAAGTTGTTGAAATTCAATTTCGGCTTCATCTAAATGAGTGATATTGATTTGTGTTGAATAATCTAAAGAACAAAAGAAAAAATTGATCTAAGCAAAAAGTTTCATGCTGTCGCTTTGTTTATACTCAATGATGATTGTAACGATTTAAGTTGGTCGAATAATTTGTCAACTTGATCACGAGCTGAATTTATATCGTTGGTTAAATTTTTACCGATTTCAGACGCTTTCTCAATACGACGTACATGAATATCAGCTTGAGATTTAATATCTTTTATATTATCAAGAGCAACCGATGATCGATTATTAATTGAATCTGTTTTAGTTTTTAATGGAATTAATTTTGCATCGACTTGTTGTTTAATCGTATTGGCGTTTTGAAGCATACTCTTAAGATAAAAAGAGAAGTTTCTTCTTGTTTTTTCTCTTAAATAAAAGATAAAATTGTTTTCTTACATTTTGATCATAATCTACGTTAAGTTTCTCATGAGTTTCCATAGCATTCAAAGTCGTCGTATTCAACAGACGATATTGATCATTTAATATCCAATATTGTCGTGATATATTACTTGTACGATCTTGCATCGTTTCAAGACGGCTGTATTGTGTTTCAGCATCTTTACTTTGCGCGTCTTTATCATTAACAAATGCTAAAAATAGAACGAAACACGGGAACTACCAATATTCATTTTCAAGACAGATCGATTTTCACATACCACGAAGATTTTCACGAATGTTCTGCACTTCACGTTCAATCGTTGTTGATTTTTCAATAGCTTGCTGAGCTTGATTTTCAGTTCGAGTTACATCAGCAAATAGATCTTGAGTTTCCTAATAGAAGAAACAATCAATAATATCCTCACAAGAATATTTCTATGACACATACTCGACTAGCATCCTGAACAGATAATTGAAGAGATTTGATTTCTCGATCGAAATTTTTTGCCATATCTTGTAATTCATACATTTCTTTGACGAATATTTTCATGTCAATTTCAAATTTTTTAACATCTTGAGAAACTCGTGTTACACGTTCTCGAAGTTCATTCGATACATCAACTGTGAGACCCGATTGACCAACCGATAGATTAGTTAGATTTGATTTCCATGCTGCTGTTGCAATTTTTGCTTCTTCAACACGAGCAACAAGACTCGCAGATTGCTCAACAAGTTTTTGACGACGATGATCAAGTGATGTTAATCTATATGGGATAATAAATCTGTATCATTTTTCTTTTATTAAAAAACATTTTTCCTAGCAAACCTTTGCTTCATATTATTTTCCAGTTGATCACGAATTGATGCTTCTGAATTACTTAATTTTGTATTGAAAAGAATTTCAGCTAGTAGACTTTGATTTAAAGCATCATCATAAGACTTCTGTAATAGTTTTAATGCTTCACGAAGATAATTAATACGTGTTTGCATGAGTAAAGTTTTATTAATAGCAGATTCATGTTTATTATCGTTTGTATAACTTATTGGATCAACGGTCATTAATAATTTATTAATTCGAGCTAAAACAAAATGATAATAGTAGATGAATGAAATCGAAAGTAATTCTTCTTTTTGTTGTCCTACTTAATTGATATGTTGTATCGATGAGGAAAGTATCATTTGATTTCTTAAGAATATCTTGAATGCGATCATTTTGTGTAATAAATTCTGGTAGTTCTCGTTCTAATTTACGATAGCGAGCTTCATGTTCGGCTACAGTTAATCGAAATTGTGTGTCTTGTTGATCATAAACGGATGTATTTCGATAGATAAATCCTGCTCCTGAATCAAACAAAAAAATTCGTATCATGAGTAAAGAAAAAAGAACAATGAATGCTATTGATCGTTACCATCTAAATCAACTTTGAGTCTATTTAAATTAGTCGCTAATGTGTCAAGTTCATTAGTTAAATGTTTATCTTCACGTAATGAATTAAGTGTTTGAGATGAATTCAATGTGAAAATAGCAGTTTGCAGTAGATTAAGATCTCCTCGATAACGATGAACACGCTTTTGTACTTCGCGATAACATGATGGGCAGTCTAAATTGTATCAGCATGAAAAAATGGCTACAAAATTTATTTTCATACTTGGACATTCGAAACCGTCTCGATATTTATTTTCTTCGCATAAATCACATTTCTGTCCCATAAAATTGTCCTTACAAGGACATTGACCAGTTGCTATGTCACATTGAACATCAAGTGAACCATATTGATCACAACTACATTCTAAAATAAAATCTTTATAACAAAGAATACAATTCGAAAGTCGTTCACTTACGTGAACATCCTTCACTTGAGAATCCATAATGATTAGGTAAACAACGATCACAATATTGACCTGTTACCCCCGGCTTACAAAAACATTGACCAGTACTAACTGAACATGAAATATTGTAAGCACCTGTAGGATTACATTTGCACGTTTCGCAGCCTATTGCGAGAAGAAGAAGAAGAAGAAGAAGAAAAGAAAAACAGCTGTTCATTTGCAATTCGTCTTAATCAATTTACCTCGATCGGAATTTAGATTCCAATAGCCATTTTCACATAGATCACATTGACGTGCTTGCACATTGGATTTACACGGGCATTGACCTGTCTGTAAATTACATTGAAGAAGAGAATTATCGCTATGACGTTGAGTGCCTTTCGGATGGCAATTACAAGCTATACGTGAAAAAAGAATTGATATTTAATAAAATATAATATATGCAAAAAATTATATACCATGACATTTTATGTCAAGTAATGCATCACCCCAATGACCTGGCAAACATTTTTCGCAATAGACACCATATGTATTACGATTACAACGTAAACAATGTCCAGTTGTTCTATAGGATAAATGAAAAAATAATTTTTTAAATAAGAACGAAACAACTTACGTATTACAATTACCAATTGTATTTATGTCAATATTTCCACTGCAACTACATTTTTCACAAGGTCGCCTTACACCAGTTACGAGACCTTCTGGATCACCGAAATATCCATCGTCACAAAATTCGCATCGATCACCTTCAGAGAAGAATTTAGATTAGAAAACAAAGAAAAAGAAATTTTGTCGTATCCAACGTACCTGTATAACCAGCAGGACAATTCAAGCAAACAACATTCCCCTGTGGTAATTGTGTACATGATACACCAGCTGGACACGGGCATTTCTGACAATCATCTGGTGTTCCTTGATGCGCTTGACCATAATATCCAGGTAGACAACGTTCACAATTATCACCGGTTGTATGATGCTGACATGCGCATCTGCTAGTTTCAACATCACAAGACAACGAATGATTATGACAATCGCATGGTACACAATTAGCAAATGGACCGCCAAATGATGGTTGTCGACGATAACCAAACGCACAATATTCACAGTGTTCTCCATAGTAACCTTGAGGACACGGAACACAGGATTCAACATTACCAGTAGGGAAAAGACCAGCGGAAGGTGTCGAATAGCCGAGGTTTATTTCACCAAGAAAACTAACAGCATTATCAATACCATATGTAGCATGAATGCGGATCGCTGTTATGTTTGATAGAAGACGCATAAATTCAAGAAAAGATAATGTCGGTGACCAGGATTGTTCATTTAATCTTGAAAAAAAGAAAGTTGATCATAGCAATCAAAGCTTATGAGAGTCGTTTTGTTTTTACCTAAATCGAAATACTAGTGGTTCTTCTGATGGAATTGTTTGTGGAACTCCTCCCAAAATGATAACACCAACTTTAACACCATTACTACCTTCAATAGTGACATCGGTAGCTGTATACATAGGATTAACATTTGCAGGCGCACGTAAGATTAATATAAATGTTAAAAATTGATTATAGGATAAAGTACGATCACCCAGATAGCGTGCTGCAAAAGAGAATTTTACACTTTTTAATAATTACAACAATTATCAATATAAGCCTTTACGTGATGCTTCAAATGTGAGATCTTGGCCAGGTAACGATTGAACATAAATATAACTACCAGTATCGCTATAAACAAGTGCTTCATGTCCTGTTTGATTAACGGCTCGCCATCCATCAGCGCCTAAAATAGATCGTTGTTTCCTAGATTTAAAAGTAATATTTCTTTTATACCTTGAGCAAACGAAGATCGAATTGGATTAAAAAAATAATTTGGTGCTGATTGACATGTTGAAGCATGACCGTAGCAAAAACATTTCGTACAACCATCTGGATTCATGGGATCCAAATTGAAGTAACCTAGTCGACATCTATTTACGAAACAAAAATACATAATAATCCAATAGTGTCATGAAATACAATAGGTTTTACTTGTCACAATTTTGTCCTTCGGCAAATGTTTTACAATTACATTGGCCTGTTTTAGAATTACATTGAAGTGGTAGTAAAGAACCAGGTTCATAACAAGAACATCGCCTATATTTAAACGATAGTAAATAATGAATGCGCAAAAATAGATTTACATACGTGCAACCATTCAAACCGAAATTATAATGAAACGGTGCACATTGATCACATTTATCACCAACTACGCCCGGCTTACATCGACATTGGCCGTTGGTTGCACATTGTGCGCTTTCCGAACCTATTTTCATTTTTTTTTTATAATCATATTTTAACCTGATCCAGTTCTTAATAAATTCTTACCGATAGAATTACAGGCACATGGTAAACATTCGCCTTCACTTTCTGGTAATCTATAAAAACCCAGTTTGCAACGTTCACAATTTGGTCCACCACGATTACCAGCACAATCAATACAAACACTACCATGACCGGTATGTTCATAAAGTTCTCGACTAAATGTACAATTTTTAGCAAAACCATTACAAAAACAAGCTAAAGAAATCCAATGAAAAAACAGAAGAAGTTAACTATAAACAATCAAAATCAAGGGAAATAAAAACTTTTGCATGGATGTGCATCAATAACTCCAGCTGGCTGCCATGGTGCATCATTATAAGCCGAATGGCACATGTCACAATCTCGACCGATCGTATTATGTTCACATTCGCAAAGAGTTTCATTTTTATATTCACCACCTTGTTTCGTACATTTATTTGCATGACCATTACAATGACAACTACGACAAAAAAAAGTCAAAGATATACTTAATGAATAAAAACACATATCTCTTATCATTTTTACCGTCCACCAACAGCTAAATCTGAGATAGCATAGAAATATGTTCGAAGTACAGCCGGTTGACCAAACATTTCATCTCCAAATGTGTTCATACGAACAAGTTGAATACGAATGTCAGATGCTGTTACCCAATCCTAATTAGACGTTTTGTTTTCAATTAGATAAAATCTCATTTAACAAAACCATATTAATCTTACTTGAAGATCTTTACGCATATCAAATGTAACTGCACCTGGCCGCCAATCAAGTGTACCGAATGCTACTTCTGATCCATGTAATGGTGTTAGATCACTAAAATCTTCCGAACAAATAGCTTCTGTATCAAAATCTGGATATTTCTTCGGCTGTAATCCAAACGTAAGCATACACGATGCACTATAATATTGATAGGGTACCCAAGAACTATTTTCATTTGTACGTTTATAAATAATAAAACTTTCCGGTTTAGGAGATTGAAATGTTAACTTAATATAAGTCACATCGTATGTCTTTCCTAAAAGATTTTTATAAAAGAAAGTAAAGTATTGCAAAACAAAATCTTTTTGGTTCCCTATAAAGAATTCTTACCAAGATTAAGAGTTAAATTAACTGTATTTGGATAATTGGTTCCTTCGAGCATTGTCTCACTTTGCCACCACGTGAGATTTCCACGCTGATTGAAATCAGTCATATAATCAGGTGGGCGAGCTCGTGATGGGTCACGGCTATCACATATTAGACAATTCTTCTGCTCATTACCCGATAGATAATCTCCATATATACCACTATTTGGTGGGCCTGTTTGAATACAGTATTCAGTACCCGTATTTGTCGAGTCAAGTTGCCAACGTTCACCACAAGTATTCGATGCTACAACTGACCGACGAAATGCTGCGTTCGCAAATTCTGGTAGACAACGAATAGCATCACCACTAGATTTATTATAACACGTTTGTTCTTCGACAACAACAGGCGGAGGAAGTAGTATGTCATTTTGTTTCTTTTTTGGCGTAGCTTTCTTTGCCGGTGAACGATTTGTTGCTACTTTAGGATTCGATCCAGTTTTTTGCAAGGATAAGGTCGCTAATTCACCGAGTATGATTAAACATATGAATAATACTTTAATGTTTATTGTAAATATACCATACAGTGTCATTGTTCACTTAGTTGCGATAAACAATTGCTTGTCGTATTTGTACGAATGAAGAGGAGTGTTTAGTGTTCACACTAGTTTTGATTACGCGGCATGAGGTTTCGTACTATGAAGATTGATTTCTTTCTCCTTTTCTATTCGCGTAATGTACAGACACAAAAGCTTTTTTCTCTTCCCACCGATATTACTACGACTGTTGAATGTCTACTAACATAGAGATATTGCGTTCATTCATGACCAGATATGGCTCTCTGTTCTTTTACTTTTTTTTTCGTTAGCGTCGACGAGAAATAAAGGCGAGCGTCATCATCAATGCGTAAAGAAGAAGAAAAAAAACTCCACGTATGAAAGATTGAACGAACGAACGAACCAACCATTCACTCAACCGCACAAACGATGGACGATAACTGACCCAGTACATATATTATAATGGTATATACATCAAATAAGAAAGAAAGAAGAAAAGTACGAGACTAGTAAAAATATAATGGCTGACCATGTTATATACGTAATCGACTTTTTTTTCCCTCTCTTTTATTCCTTATTTGAAAAATACAACAAACACACCGAGTAGTTCAGATAGAGATTAAAAACTTTGATTGCAAGATCGAATAGTTATTTAAGAAAGGAAAAAAGAAACCAAAGAGACAGATATCACACCGGTGATACTAATAAATGGGTTGCAGTTGAAGCAGCTGGTGGTACATCATCTGACCCTTTGTTGGGACTTTTTACATGTCGTTCACGAATTCGCCGTAAAAGTTCTTCACCTAAAATGAAAACATTTTAATCTCTGATGTTTTTATCTTTTCAACTAAAAACTTACTTCGCCGTTTGCTTTCATTGGGTTGTACAAGACGGGCTGTATCAATATTTTGACCACATAATATACAAGGTTTCATTTTTGAACATTGTAATTCTTTCGGTGTTGTCCATTCACCCTAGATAGAAAAAATAAATAGTATCATTTCTCAAACACTATTTAACACGTTCAATAATTACCATAAACGAAAATTCTTTACAATTTGGACATTGAACAGAACGATTAAATTCATTACCTTTGCAATAGAAAAATAAAATAAAATCCAATTTTTCGCATATCAATTATCAGCTTACCCGGAGCTATAGTTGTTAGCATAGCCTCCGCATGATTGAGTATAGGCATAAGTAGATTCCAAATTTCTTCTAATGGCTGTTCAACCATACTCGTACCACAACGACATTCAAAATACGTTCGATGATCTGTTTCCAAAAGAAATCTAATTTAAAAAAAAAATGAATTCTACTGCCTTGAAAAGAATGAATTTTGTTTTTCCATACCTCACATCTTTTTCTTCATGTGCACCTAAAATAAAATTATTATAATGTTTCTTATAGATTATGCTTAATCTTAATATCGCTGAAACAGAAAATCGATGAAAAAATCCAAGTGGTAATGATTGACTTGTATAACGAATGGTAATAATATTTTTTAAAGTATTACTAAAAGTTTTTATTTCGTCTTGTTGTTCATTTTGATTCATAAATGGTAAATAATACGGCACAATAGCATAATCAAATTTGATTTCTTCTCGAACATCCGGATTTTGTTTTACATCGATGAAACGCTCAATTTTTTTCTCGCCTTTCGAACATGGATCAGGTGTTTGAATGTGAAGAAGATGTTTCAATTGTGCTTTACTTATTTTCGGATAAGCTATTAATAAAAATCTCATCATTGCTAACCATAAATGATTTAAATGTTCTTTTTTATGTAATAAACCAAACCATAATGACCGAAGAAGATCGGAATGTAACAGACCAAATTGAAGAAATTCTTTTTTATACCCTTGAAAAGTTGATTCTGGAATGTTTGATAATGAAAAAATTTCATTTTTATCATAATCAAGATACGTTGTTGTCATATCATGACGAAATAAACCATAGAGAAGATCGACTAACCATGACGGACGAAGAAAAACAACACGATCTTGTGTTCCGACTTCGTTTAAAACTAAAATTTTCCCCTCGTCATATAACGACATTGTTATATCATTGATTAAATGTGAAAGACCATGTTTACCAATAACTCGATCAGTAAAATTTCCCCATAGAATATATGGTACAGGTAATACATCGGCTAATGATTCAACATATTCATTTGCTTCAGCCCAAAGTGTTGGTAATATTCGATCGACATTAGGAAATATTGATTTTTGAGTTAATACATGACGTTGTATTGTTCGATTGAGATCCTCAATGCCTTGAAATGTTACAGAACTAACTGATTGACATGGTTCAATTTGAATACTAATGTTAAGTAAAGCAGTAAATGTTTTAAGACGATCGGAAAGTGATGATGATATTGTTTGAAGAGAATGAATTGTTTCCATTTCTTGTTTTATTCGATTCGTACGATATTGAAGATAGAATTTAAAGAAATTATTGATTTTTTCTAAAACTGCAGTTCTAACAAAAATATATTTACTATGCAATAGAATAAAAAGAAAATTAAATTAAACTTACTTTTCTTCGCGTGGTCGTGCATCATATAAATCAATACATGTAGCAATAGGTAAAATCATGATTGCATGCGCTTTTGTTACCTTTTCACATAGAATTTGTAATATTTGAAGTAATTGTGTGATCACATTCGATGATGATACATCAAATTTACCATTGAATATATCTTCAATAGATGCAGGAGATGCTTGATGAAAATCGGCTGTATGGATACAAATGAGATGAAGTGCACTAGTATCAATAAATGGCGATATATGTTCATAATAATTCGATGAACCATTAAAGTCAAATAGTGTCAATGGCAGGTATTTGATGGGTTCTGCTGGAAAAAAAGGTCGCGGAGTTGGCGTCGTGGGTACTACGATTGGTACGAGGATTGGTGATGGCGGTTGATTCGATACTAATATTTGTTGTTTTAGCGCTTGAGCTGAAGGATTTCGTAGTTTGCGTGTATCCATTTCAAAACGTTGAAGTTGAATTTTAGGTAAGTCAACAGTTTTCGTATTGGCCATTGCTGGTATTTTAATTAGTGGAGCCGGTGATGGTGGGGGTGGTGGTAGTGGCGAAGTTGCTATTGGTGGAAGTAGCTTCGTGGCTGATTGATCAGCCATTGATAATAAGCGAAGTGGATAATGATGAACTATAAAATGAAATTATCTATTTTGATCGCTAATACAATATAAAGTAGTTTAATAATGGTGATTGTATCGAACATCATGAATAGGTGATCCAAGGGTCAACATAGGTTCGCTCTCCATATGAGTGCATATATATATATATATATTTAACTTTTTGTGAGAAAATCTTCTCACAATGAATGAATATGACATAGAAGAATCATGTACTGTTAAGAAAGAACACAATACGTCATATTTCAATTGAAACCTTAATATCACTCGAAATTATACGAATGCAGAACATGAACTCTATTTAGAGTAAGCACAATGAGAGATAGTAGGCTTTTCAAATGTTTACTAAGAGAATCACCAGTGAATTCATCAAGGTTGTATAGATCTAAAGTACCATTATGTTCAAGTAAATCAGAAATAGACAACCTTTTGAACTTTGTTTTTGTCTGAAGCTTAAAAACATACTTTTTCTTATGCTCTTCGATGAGTTTTATCCAATAGAAATTGGTAATAACTAAAATATTGATCATTGCATACTATAAAGCTATGAACAAATGCACTCGGGAGAGTTGTAATTTGATCAAAATATGTCGAATACTGTTCTGTTTATAACAGTACAATATCTTTCATTCTAAGACGAATACGTGAAACAATTATAGTGAGCATGGAATAGGAATTGTGAAACATAAGACTAATTACAACAATTAAATTACATGATATGAGTTCTGCGTCATCAGCTAGAAATGAATAGAGAATATTTCAAATCACAAACCTTAGCGTGATTCCTAATGAATGCAATGAGTTCAAGGTATTTGTTTACTGAATCAGTTATTATTACGGAGTACCATTTCAAGTGTTTCGTTGGGGTGTCTAACTGAGTATGGTTACCATTAAAGTTTATTTGCCAATCAATTCCTTAGTTTTTATGATATTTTCTTTCTAATCAACTGTTAAAGACCTATCGAGTATTCTAAGATTTCGGTGGACATCGAGAAGCTTATGTTTTGTTTCTTTCAAATAAAACTCACTAACCATGAACAATTCTCTCTTGTGTTGCTTCAATGTCTTCATCAATATTTACAGGCATGTTTTCTTCTAGGCAACTTGCTAATGATGTTTTTCCACTCTTTTTTGGGCCAATCAGACATATTTTAAAACCTTGTCGAACATTAGCATCTACTTGTTGTTCATCAAAACAGCTTCTGATCATTCGAAGTACATTTATTGTATTTGCACTAGTTTCAATGAGCATTTCTAATGGAACAGCTGGTTGTGTCAATGGATTATTATGTATTTTAAGTTCTCGACTTGAAATTAAATCGTTGTTTAATTTTTTTACCAAATCATTTGAAATCGTACGTATTTTATTATTCGATACATCGACTTTAAGTGCAATAAGTAATAAATAATCATAGAATTTTGTTAATTCATTAAATGATAAATCAATTGAAAAAATCATTGAACCTCGCGTATAAGTAACTGGTAATATAGGTAATTTTGCTATTAAATTATGACTAAGATTTAATACATCAAGAGTATTGACAAGAAGAAGATCAACTGGAAATGATTTTAAGCGATTGTATGATAAATTAACATTTTTTAAATGATGTAATTGATGAAGACCACGTGGAAATTTAATTAATTGATTGTTTGCAATATGAATATATTCAAGTTTTTTCATCAGACTAAAATCAATTTGCTCAGTAGTTTCTAATTTATTATGATCCAAAACTAAAAATTTTAATCGTTTTAAATTTACAAGACCACTATCAACTGTTGTTATACAATTCTGTTCGCAATTTAATCTTACTAAATATTTATAGGTATAAATAACAATTGGTAAATTTGAAAACCGATTAAATGATATGTCAAGTTCTTTCAGGCGTTTCAATTGTTCAAATAAATCAGCCATGTCAGTTAATTGATTATTTGAACAATTTAATGTTTCAAGTTCAGTCAACAAACTAATATCCAATGGTAAATCACTCAATTGATTGTGACTTACATCGAAATGTTGTAATGTTTTTATTGATGAACAAGCATTACGAATCATTTCAATATTTGTACATAACTCTGTTGTCGGCGTACGAGAACGTAGACGAGATATGGACCGAGAAAAGACACCGCCATTACAGTCATTATCTGTCAAATGTATCGGAAAAAGATGTCGAACGCCAGATGTACCAGCTCGAATGTATAATGATGGATCAGGTGGACGAGGAGGCGCAAGAAGATTAGTATTCATTTCGTTACTAGTGCTTTTCACCTGTCCTAATGGACTAGTTTGTTGACTGACATTGGAAAAACGAAAAGATTGTGATGTACGCCTTGACTGTGGCCGACTCTGTTTTGAAACTGCCTTTTAAATAAAGATGAATTAAATCATGCAAATAGAAAAAATTGAATATATTTATACAGATTATTTTTCTTTTTAATCGACTCACTTTAGTGACACTCGACGCACGACGCCCTACCGCCGGCGATGGCACTTTCTCGATTGTTGATGCAGCAACCGGCATAATATATCTCGTTTATTTTATGGCACCCCACTACACAATGCTAACAATAACAGGACGTCAAATGATTGAGAAGTTTGATTCTTTTTTTCACAATTTACTTTACCTTTCTTCTCGAGTTTTTTCTTCTACTCTTTTTCTTACGGTCATGTTTGCGTCTTCTTGTGAATTTTCAAAATTTTTGATGTCAACATTTTGTTCTACTATTGACAACAATCGTTCACACATGCCATTCTTATTTTTCGTCTGGCTATTGATCGAGCAACCATTTTATTCTGTACTTTCTTACGTTCATCGATTAAATTTTAAACCCATTTCCTGAAATTCTGTATTCTCTCAAGGATCTCTTTAAGTAGCTGAGTAACCAAGAAAAAAAACACATTCTCAATTCTGATTTCAGTAATAATGAAACGTATGAAATCGATATTGCCGTGTAATAAGCCGCTTATGAAGTGTATTTCTTTTATCAACAATGAGGTATTTTTCTTTCTTTCGTTTTAATGGTACAACTTTCAGTTATAGCAATGTTGTTTTATTCTAAAATTTGGAAATCTTAGTTTTTGCGTGTAAAGTACCTAATTATTCACGTTTAATGAAATCAACCTTGGTTGCTATCGTTTCATTGCGTTTGTATCGGTAATTTTATTGTTTTCTTTTGAGAAAAAAACAAAAAAAAATCTGCATTTTAATTAAAAAGCTAATTTAAACTGAAGAATAAATAAAAAAATAGATCTTATTCGCTTAACTTAAGTCAATAAAGAGCTTATGTTTGACTTTGCACAGCGAAAGCTTATCCGTTAGATGTGATCGTCAATAAAAAAGAGAATTCACGTCAGCCAGTCGGCATATTAACAAATATTTTTATATTTCTAACTGGAAATATTCTAGTCAATCGATGATAATCAATATTACGAAAAGAAAATTCGTAAGGAAAACCTTATTTGACAACTAATTAATGTATCCTATTCCATTGAACGATAGTATACGACCATAATTGCCTGTACCATTTAATCTTAATAAAGAATGAATCCTTGCGTCTCCTCACGCTGGAATCCTTTCGTATTCATGCTTGTAGGAAACACATGCTAAATTTTTCTTTCGTATCTAGTCAGTTCAACCTATGTAGAACACAGCTAATGCAATAATGAATACGTTTATCAAAATTTGTTTTTTCGTATGTTTCTTTTTTTTTATCCATTCTCTATACAATATCTCACACAAAAAGGACAAGCAACAATACATCAGCATGATGGAAAAGAAAACTATAAAAACAACCGAACAAAAAAAATTAAAGTAACCGATGGCGACATTCATCCGAACCACAACGACAATGTAACACCCGATTCTCCACTGTATCCACCTAAAAAGAAATAATAAAACATCTATCAAAAAAGAAATACAAAAACTTACTTCATACGAATAATCCCATACTAGTTCAGTGCCAGCTTTAACGTTAGTTGCTGTAAAAAATGCTACCCAAGGAAAACGTACATCCCACGTTTCAATAAATACATTTTGAACAAAAACATTTGGTGAACATGAATGATTATAGAACCGTGAAACGTTTCCTTTGTAATGCGCATCCATAACATATATGCCTGAATCATAGTTGGCTAGTTGATGATCAAGTAATGCTTTATTACTATCTGATAAGGTAGTTTTATCTTCAATAGATGTGTGATTATCTAAATATATAATAAGAATAATCACTGATAAGCCAGCCGATGGCATATAATTTAAAATTTACTTTCATTACGTTGTATTTCTGATATTTGATCAGAAAATAATTGTTGTTGATTGTCATGGTAGAAATTTGTTTCATCATTAGATTGATCTAAATATGAGTAAAAATAATATATATCTAATGTTTCATTATGACAAATACCTTTCTGGGTTATCGCTTTTAATTTTCTCTGTAACGGTATTGGTTTAAGTGATGTAAGAAAATCTAATGCAGTAAAATAAACATCACCCATAGTTTTTTCTAAACCACGTCGATTAGCATCTGCATCGTTGAGTATTTCTCCAGAATAGAAACTCAAGAAAGTACCCGCTGGTAGATCGTATAATGTTCGTACACCCCAACCTTTTTCTGATGTATGATAAATTTGTAGAAGAGTATTTAAACCGAATTGCACGCATCGATTTGTACATCGTGAATCACATTTACATTTACCATTACATTCATATATACCTAGAAAAAATAGAATTCATTAAATTAACTTAGCAGAAAAATCTCTATTTTGTAAACAAACCTGAATGAATTTTTTCAAGTAATCGTCCATGTCTATAACCAAGATTTCTTTTTGATAATGCATCATAGAGAAAGAATCTCATTTCATCCAAATTATTATGTCGATCATCGTCCTCATCAGTCGATTGTCCGAATAATTCTTTTAATGAACCAATGAGGTCTTCATAGTAATGTGATTGAATGATACCATCGTATATTTTTTGCCAACAAGCACATTTTGTTGTATCTAAACATCCATCTGTACATGTACAACCATGTGTATTCGTTTGGTCAATGACTATATCCGATGTCAATGGTATTCTTTCAGTTGTATATTCGAATGGTTTTGGTAATGATGAATCAATTTCATTAATAAGCATTAATGGTACTTTATCTTTTCCTAATGCATAATCGTCCAGATTAACATAGACTGTAGTCGATGAAAGAAATTTTTGTGTAACCCGACAGTTCATGTCAAACGTAAACTGTCGAATTGATAACGATGAATTCGTTTGATAGAGATATGCATGTAAACGTTCACCATCAGTAAACATTTGTCCACAAGGTGATGCATACACAATAGTACCAAGGTCATTACGTATTTGACGTTTCCATCCATGATTTAATGGTATCAAAAGAAAATGACAACATTTACTATCATTCGTTGTTGGCTGTTTATCGGAAGCAAAACGTTTGCATGGTGGTTCATAGGTTGATGGTGAATTAAATAACGGTTGAAGACGTAATGAACCACGATAAAGCCATTCGTGTTTATTTATTACGGGTAAAAATACACGCATAAGGCTGGCATCAACTTTTGATACGATTGCATCGACCCATTGCCCGTTTAATTCAATATTAATATGATCTTTAACCGCTACGTTAACAAGACGTCGTTTTGGATATGTTAAAACATAATTTTCTATGTATTGTTTTGTACCTGAATCAACCTTAGATAAATAATTTGATAATGGTTCAAGTAATAATCGAATAGCAGTCGAACGTAAATAAAAGGGTGCATCACTATCAGCAAATATCAAATAGCGTTGATTATTATTATTTGATGGTTGTTCAGCTATGATACCACGTAAGGGTTTATCAATATACCTCGAGGTATCAGCATCGCCACTTGGCATACAAAGTACTCGTGTACCAACATTAACATTTTCCCCTATACTATCATTCAAGGCAACACGTTCCGGCGGATAACGGTAATGATCTTGAGATGTTGGTTTATGATGACAATTCGACAATCGACATGTCTAAGAATAAATTATTAGAAATAATTATTTTATTATTATTATTATTATTATTTATAATTACTAATATTTGAAGTTTATTGTCATTTGTTTGTTGCGCTCGAACGAAATATGCCACTGTCCATCCATGTGAAGGATTATAAACAAGTACACGTTGGCCAACATCAATAGCCAAAGGCATGATTGAAAATATTTTTCTATTTTAAATTTACGATTTTTTTGCTAATTAATGAAAAAAAATTGACGAAATTTTTTGTTAGTTAAAAATCTAAATTCATTTATTGGTTTAATGAGATTTGCTATGAAGATAGTCAATAAATATGTTCTATTGAAAATATTTTTTTTATTTTAACGAAAATAATCAAATTTGTAGAAAAACAATACTTATTACCAACAAAGGGATAAACGAACTGATCAAAGTGATATGCATGACATTTATTCGTGCACAAAGAGGTTTTTGAATAATTTCTAATTGGTCTGCGATAAGTAACCAATGAAAATAGACATGTTCGTGTTGGTGTAGGACTGAACAGATTTACGATGGTTATAGACCAACGATCAATTTAACCAATATGATCGCACTGTTTCGTTGTGGCAGGTTATTGGTTTACTGCTTATTTTTATAAAATATTATATTTCTTCATCTTGTCCGGCTACGAACAAAATAAAAGTATAAATTAGACATTAATTGTGTACTATGATCGAGATTTTTCACTACTCTCCAGATTGTACTTGTCAATGTGATGAGTTTTATTGCGTACCCATTCTCAGGATGTCTTCAATTTATTATTAAACAAGATAATTTGAAAGTAAGGAATAAAAAAAAAAGAAAGATTAGCAATACACTCTATGTGTCTTATAATGTCAGAAAAGACAATCATTCGAATGAAAAATAAACTAAAGTTTATAATCGACTCTACCACGAATGGGTTGACCTGGTAAATTGGTATTTTTATCCATAGTAACTAACTTTCCATCACGTAGAACGAATTTTCCATTAACAAGTACGTGTATTATACCCTGAGAAGGAAGTTTTGGCTGTTGATAAGTAGCACAATCTTTGATAGTCACCGGATCAAATATACATAAATCTGCTGTAGCACCTTCACAAATACGACCTCTAGTTTTCATTTGTGATGAAGCACTTTCTAGTCGTTGTGCTGGTAATAGAGACATTTTTCGAATCGCCTCCATCAATGATATAATACCACGATCACGAACATAATGACCAAGAACACGAGCACATGAACCAGCAGCACGTGGATGACCACGGAGTGCATCACTACCCATCAATGTAATAGGACTTCGAAGGCACTCAAGGACTGCTTCTTCGGGTATTGAATTAATAAGAATTAATCCTCCTTCTTTTCGATATTTAGCAAAACTGTTTGCATCCAACTGCTCTCCTGTATTAATATATGTTAAACCATTATAATTTATTCCCAATTGTTCTTGCCATAGATCGTCATTAAACAAAGCTGAATCAATCGTACTACAACCAGCCAGATAGGGATCTACAATAGATGCTATCTAAGTCAGTTTCTCAACAGAAACCTAAAGTACTTACAAAATTCTGTTGTTATATCCATACCATTTTTGTGTGCATCATGTATCAATTCAAGTGCTTTATGAGTCGCTGCTAAACAAGTACTATGTAAATGGCAAACATTAATAGCAGCTTTGGTGCATGCTCCTAGAGCAAGAATTTCTTGAAGAGCTGCTAAACTACCATTTTTTTCTTGAGCACCAAAGTGACGCATATGAACATGACAACAAACATCATATTTTTTTGCCAAACGAAAACATTCTACAATTTCCCATCGTGTAGCTCCTGGAACATAATGAATACCAAAACCTACGGCCATAGCACCTCGTCGAAGACCATATTCGATTTCTTTTTTTATTTCATCAATTCTATCAGGTTGAAGTGCTGCCGATGAATCACTATGAGGTAGAAAACCTGGTGGATGATTAAATACTTTCATTCGTGCTTGAATATGACCGATAGCTACTCCATAGTTAATTAAAGTTTTGTTGTCTCTTTCAGCATACCATAGATCAACATCATCTGTTCCAACTTCTAATTCAAAAATTGATGTAACACCATCTTGACATTTCAATGTATAGTATTCATCACTGTGTTCATGTGAATGAACATCGATAAAGCCTGGACAAATAATTAAATTTGAAATATCTATTTCTACTTTGCCTTTTAAATTTTCTTCACTAATCGATACAATAGATCCATCGATGATACCAACCGATCGTATAGCATCGAAATTTGTTTCAGGATTGATAACGCGACCATTTAGAAAAACAAGATCATATTCCATGCGGGATTTGTTTTCAATTTTTTTTTTCTATAATAAAATAACCTGTATATATAAACAAGCTAACAGACATGAAACAAAAAGAGAAAGAAAAAGAAAAATCTGAACTTTCATTGCAACGGTTTGGTATACAACCAGTATACGAAAAAGAAAAGAAATATCATAGGCGAAAGATGAACAAAATCAACATTTAATCAATTATAATGACTTCGTCTTGTGTTCTAGGACGTTTCGTTTTGAGAGATTCAACATCTATTGATGATGTTCGTTTTTGACTAGCACGTGAGTTATTAGTGTTCATTAATCGTGTTTTAAAAAGAGTATACATCATTTCTTCAGTAGGAACATTTTGTCTGCGTCGAGGTACGATTGTTTTTACTTTGTGTTCCCGTATAAAAGCAATAGGTGGTGATTCATTAATGTTATTGTTCTCCCGAGCAGTATCAGCGTCTGTTCGAGATTTTTGAACGAGAGAAGTAAACGAATCAAATATAGATTTTGCTATTGGTATAATAGTTGTTGAAAGAATTTTCAATGTATTATTATTAAGAGAAATTTCAACCGTAGCTTCTACAGAATCTTTGTTGTCGATTTCTTCAGTTACAACTGTTGCTACGGGAGACGGTGATTTTGGTGCTAGAACAATGATAAAACAATTCTATTATTTTCAATTGATGTATTTCGAACTTCGAGTAATATCTTTTCTCTCACAAAAATCAATGACTTAGAGTTGACTATAACTAAAACTACTTGTATTCTGATATCAACAGGTACAGAAAGTTCATAGAATGAAGAAGTGTCCAAAGAGCATACTGACATTCTACTGGTATTGATCGATACTCGAAGCAATATCTAATAGCATCATTTGTGAACAATCGATTACAACAAGGTGGCGGAGTATCAATAGTTTGATATTCTGTTTCTTCATGTATACTGTTTGGCGATTCAACCATCATTTCGATTTCTGACTCTATTTCTTCTTCGTCACCTTTTCTCTCCTCATCACTATCATCAGCAAATTCTTCACACGATTCAATAATGATTTCAGATTCAAGTCGTGGATCAATTTGAGAAAATTCTTCAAAAACCTAAACATAAAGAATTCTTATACATTGTATGTTCTACAGAAATATTTAACATACTTTTTCTGTTTTAATAATAGCGTCATGTTCATTCTTTAACAATGCTTGTTGAAATTCAATATTGTTTAATGCAGGATCATTGTGTTCCATGCTAAACAAAGTAGAAGACAAAACATTGATGAGAGAAATTCAAAATCTTGATTAAGCCTAACTCGAAATCTTCCGGAAGACGACTATTCATAATATCATTAAAATCAGCCATTCGTCGATTTTTAACTTTTTTACCAATGAGTTTAAACGACTTTTCAGCCAGTTTTTTTCGAGTATCAACACTACAATAAAATTTCTAATGTATAATAATAATAAAAAACTTCAAATCTAGTCTATACCTGAGATTAAGTTTGTATTTATCATTCATTTTCTCTACTGTATCAAGAACATCATTGAAGGATGGTAAAAATTTTGTTCGATTAACCATATCTTCAAGAGCTTTATTAAGAAATGGACTATCAATTTCCAATTCTAAAAAGACAATTTCTGATATAGAACCATACTAAAAAGCAAGTCTAATTTACCTGCTAGAGTAACCAGCTGATCAAGAACTCTTTCAGCAGAAGTCGATTGATTCTTTAATTCGGCAAGTCTAAAATAAATCTGAATTGCTTATGCATATTAGAAAATGTTTTCATTAAATCAATGAACATTACTTCATATGCTTGCTTTTTTAAATTTGATTCTACGACGTATAAATCACAATGTTCCATTTCAACTAATGACATATCTCTTTCTTCTAATTCACGTATTGTTTTAGATAGCAGACGTAATCGTCTTTGTAATCTTCGAATTTTTTTCTCTGGTTCCATTTTGTCATGAACAGTAGCAGTTGAATCTGTGGAAGTTTTTAACTTTGGATTTGATATTGGTGACTTCGATTCTGTCATTTGTTCAACTTCTGATTGCGATGCTATAGCTTCATTTTTACATAGAACCGATGCTATTGATTCTACATTATGATAAATTTCTTTTGGCGATTGGTGCGATCTATTCGGGAGAAAAAAAGAATGGTAAGAACGCCTCTGATGTGATTCGAAAAACTATCATCTAAAAATATTATTCTCATCTTTTGATTGACGATAGTTCTTTCTAAAAGTTTCAATTTTCGGATACAATAGCACAAGGAAAGAAAACTATTGATTTATTTCTCTACAAGAAATTCTTTTGAGTACAAAAGAAACATTCTGCAAACTTCAGATTTGTTTTTACTTACCCCCGCGATTTGATACTATTTATTTTCATTTGACCAGTAAATGAAACTAATAGAGAATAATATTTAGTCGATTTATGATTCTGAGTAAACACATTATGAATATGTTGGAGCATTGTCGTAAAATCTCTTGAGCATAAGTACGATGGTGATGTTGCATTAAAATGATGACGGAGTTTATTCTGTATTTTATCGATTTCGTTTTCGCCCACAAGAATATCACCGATTAATGAGACAAACTAAACAAACAGAGACAGTCATTGATAAACTATATAACGTTTCGAAATAATAAACTAACCTTTTCAAATTCAGTTCTAATATTATCAACCATATTATTTTCCATCTAAAGAAAAAGTTATTTTCGTACTATTTAACAGATTTGTTAAATATTTAAAAAACTGAAAAAAGAAGAAAAACATTTTCTTTTAATCTATATACGCAACAGTTGGAGTTTTAAGTTCTTTGGGATCACCATTAAAATTTATTCGCATAGATGGTGTAAGCGAGCAGCTTGGACATTAGATGGACTTAAGTTCGAACAGAATCTGAGTATAGGTTTATATAAAATTCTAATGCATATATAGCATAGAGAAAACATGAGTGGCATGAGAAAAAAATTCGCTTAATACAACCAATGAACGAGCACAATTGAAAAAATGAAGTGAAGAAACATAAAATTATACGTGATAAAAAAACTGATGTTTATACAAATTAATTGGGTTCATTAATCATTTCTCTATTCCGTCTCGAACATGTGTTAATTGTTGAAGAATGTTTTTGTCAGGGTGAATTGTATCTTAGAGATTCCTTGCTCTACATTAACTTATTGGAATAAAATGAATTTTAAATGAGTAACGGAATTGAAAAAAAATAAGTTGATTGTGCAGATAGAATTTTTTGTTTAAAATATACGGAAGTATCTAACATGAATAGATGGTGTTGTTGTTATGAAGAAAATTTTCTAAAACTATCAGTAATATCAGCAGCTTCCACAGCTGTTCTCAAGATTGTTTACACATGCATTAACTATATGGTTCGAAAATGTCGACATCTGAACTATGCTATATTTAGTGTCAGTTGTTGTTTTTTATTGAAATATTTTTTGTTATTCAAACTAAATAAAGTGACATATAGTACAAAAATATTATATAAAATTGGTCTAAATGATTAATGCCAGCTAAACTGAGAAGAGACAAATCAAGATTTTCATATTCTTGCATGTCCTACAACAATACTGTAAAAATATATGCAATAATATAATATCAGAAAAAAACAACAGATTGTTTTTACTTACCACTACTACTGGCAGCGCTGAAGACAAAGCCTCGATAGATGCATTTAGATGTTATAAGTAGTTTAAACTTATAACACTATCTCTGCGAAAATACATGTACGCCCGACATAGAGCGTTTGAAGTTTTTATTTTATACTCGAGAAAAATCGAATAGTATCACGTTTCACTTTCTTATCTTTTGATGTGACTTTCATAATAATAAGTTTTACTGTTATATCTTAGTTTGCTGACAGACTTAACTGTATGTCCAATCAGATATGCTTCTGCTACCTGTTTCATAAATTCGATCTTAAAGTTGTTTGATGTTTTCAGGGTGTGGGTATCTGAGAGTATGACTTGAGTAAAGAGACGGCGAAGTTCACCCACACTCTTCGGTAGATCATATTGAAACAAACATCAGATATCACACGGACATTCGTGATTTTACTTGCATGATAGTAAGAATTCAATGAAATAATTATATGACCTTGGCTTGTAAGAATGGATTTATTATAATTTAAAAAAAATAGAGAACACACTAAAGAAGCAAAGAAATTTTACTGTTGTTTATAATGCAAAGCCGTTGTTCTCCTCGGTGTGCAGAAAATAACATTAGTAAAGATTGGCCAGTGTGAAGATTTCGGACGATGCTAATTCACGTGAATATAAAAAGAATTCATTCAATGCACCAGTAAATGAGCCACCATAGCCTGGTGAACATCCCATACCAAAAGTTCCCAGCTAGGCAAATTGTCGCAAGACCATTAGAGGCTGAATAAGAAAATGAGCCTGATGTCGAATATAATGTGCCATTAATGTACAAGCAAACACCATTCGTGCTACTATATGTAAATCCAATATGATGCCATGCGTTTAATGGAAGAATAGGATCAGGCGTGGTAACAGGTCCTCCGTTCCATAAGTTGGCAATTATATTGTCACTGGAGTTCATGGTCAAGAAATTAACACACTACAGTGTATATTATGTGTCTGCGGATACAAATTGACAAGTTCATTTAACAATTAATTGAAATATTTTCACAAAGGTTCATAACGCAATATTCGTTCTTGATTTGATCGCTTAATATTCGATACGTTCTAATGACAAACATCAGTCTTATATAATTTTCACAAAAGAAAAATTAAATAGAGTTCACCACTTGAAATTCCGATGGATGTAAACTAACTTACTTGAGAAGTTGAACATATAGATCATGAGATGCCTAGTTCGACTTCGAATATAAATTGACATCTGAGTAACTATTCACAGTNCATATACTAGCTATACTCGAGAGAGATCTCCTTTTATTCTTACATTTTCTCTTCTAGTTAATATTCCTGCTAATGCTACATGGAAGCAGAACGGAGTGACTATTGCTGGAGGTAACGGGGATGGGGGTGCCACTAATCAACTCAAGCAGCCTCTTGGTCTCTTCGTTGATGATGATCAAACAGTGGTTATTGCTGACTACATGAATAATCGTATCATGCAATGGGAGAACGGTGATACAACGAATGGACAAGTTGTTGCTGGTGGTAAAGGCCAAGGAAATGGATTAAATCAATTGAATATTCCAACTGACGTGTTAATTGACAAAGAGACGGATAGTCTCATTATTTGTGATCGGGGGAATGAACGAGTTGTACGATGGTCTCGTCGTAGTGGTACAACACAAGGTGAAATACTCATCGACACGATCGACTGTTGGGGATTAGCAATGGATGAGCAGAGATATCTCTACGTCTCTGATATCGGAAAACATGAAGTAAGGCTATATCAATTGGGTGAGAAGGATGGCACTCTCGTAGCTGGTGGCAATGATAAAGGTGATGGCCTTAATGAACTCAACGTGCCGAGATATCTCTTTGTCGATCGACAACAGAATGTCTATGTATCAGACAACGACAATCATCGTGTAATGAAATGGAATAAAGGTGCAAAAGAAGGTGTTGTTGTCGCTGGAGGACAAGGTGAAGGGAGTGCTCTGACACGATTGTCTCATCCTAATGGAATCTTTGTTGATGCGTTGGGTACACTCTATGTAGCAGACTCGTGGAATCATCGTGTAATGCGTTGGACTCAAGGAGACAAGAAAGAGGGCACTGTAGTTGTGGGTGGAAATGGTTCAGGAACAGGAGCAGATAAGTTCAACTACCCCTATGGTTTGTCTTTCGATCGACAAGGTAATCTCTATGTCGCCGATTATAATAATCACCGTGTTCAACGATTTTCTATCGAATAAAACTTGTGAGTTGTTTTCTCTTTGTTCGTTTCTTTTCCCATTCTTTTTCTATTCTTTGTAATAAATGAATCAAAAAAAGAAATTTTCTTCTACTCTTTCGCTTCAAATAAAAGAAAAAAGCTAAAATATAAAATTATGTCATATGTTTCTTTTCTTCTTCTTCTTTTATTTATTTGTTAAATGAAAAAAAAAGAATTAAATAAAAGAATTTGTTTTTTTTTCGCAAAAAATATTAATTATTTAAATGAAAAATACATTGTGTTTTTGGAAATATTTTTTTAATCGAACATAAAATTCGTGTTATTTAAATGAAATTTTGGATTATTTTCGTAAAATATTTATTAGTAAACGAATTTATTTCTTAGTAACATAAAATAAGATTTGTGTTATTTTGAAATTATTTATTGTTAACATAAAAATATTTATAATCATATCAGATAAACTCACACAAACTGCATAGAGATGTATATGTTGTAGGCAAAATTGGAATCCTAATTTTGCCCGGGCAGAATTAGAATTCTAATTTTGACTAGGCAATCTACAAGACAAAAACATTTTTAATCTATTCACCCATATTTGCACAACCACCTCGTTTTGAGTGACATTTTGTAGAACAAAAAACACCCATTTTTTTACACGAACATTGTTTTGTAGCGCACTTGCCTTTACAATCGCAAGCACGACCGGTTGTTGATGTGCGGACGTAAAGTTTGCATGCTTCAATAAATGTAATATCATTTAAATCATTAATAACAATGTGTTTTAATGCTTCTGGGCAAGCCATCTTTAAATCAACAACATGTTCAATAGAGTATGGAATTTTTAATTTACCATATTCACAAGCCAATATAAATGTAATTTTTCCATCTTTTTCAAGTTTTTCGATAATTAAACATGGTAAAAGTTTAGCATCAGTATTTGTTCTATCAACCGTATGAATTTGAAGACCAACACAATCATTTAAATTAAATTTTTTTGCTTCACTAATTATACTAGCTTGATAATGCTTCATTTTTTTATTTGCAGCATTTAAATAATTATCGGTGGCGATTTTTCGTACAAGATCATGTCTTGTTTTCTGTGGTGTAACTGTTGGTGAATGAGATAGTGAAAGATCAACTAATGAACTTGCAACGACTTCATCAGATAATTGTTGAACAAGTTGAATAATATCTTCATCAATAACATCAGCACAATCATTTTCATCGTCGATAATATCATCATTTGAATCACAAATTGGTGTTGGTAAATTTTCTTCATCGACAATTCCATTTTCTTTAACAAGTTTTCAAAAATCTGAATCAGAACGAGGTGCTTGTCCAAACATAACTTGATATGGAGTTGTTTTAGTAACAACTGATGCTCTGGTATTAATACCATAAATTACGGGCAATAAATCATCTGACCAAGGTGAAGAATTATATGTGGTCATCCATTTTCCAAGAGCACTGCACAAAACCCCATTTGCTCGTTCGACGCACCCTTGACTTTGTGGGTGTCTTGGCCAACCTCTAACAAACATCATATGTGGAAATAATTCTTTTAATTCGTGTATTACACTTTGCGACGAATTCTCGTCCATTATCACTATGTAAAAGTCTTTGTGGTCCGAAAACAAAAAATAATTCCCGTAATTTTAATGCCACTTCAGCAGCACTTTTGTTTTTCAAAGGATATGACCAACTAAATTTACTAAAATGATCGATACAATTCAAGATCCAGTTATAAATAATGTCTGGTTTTAATATATCAGGTCTTGTTCTCATATCGATTAGATCAATTTGTAATCTTGTCATTACTCCAAGTGAGATTATAGGTTTGCCAATTACATGTTGTTTAAGTGGCTTCCGTATTTGACACGGTACACATTGTTTTAAAAACATTTCAACAGCAAATCGTGGAATGCATCTATAATGTGTATTAAGCTCATAGATGGTTTTATCACGACCTCCATGAGAAATAGTAACATGGGCCTCGCCTATTACATTATAATAAGCTTCATAAACACAAATAGGTTTTTTAGATTTAATACAACAACCAATTTCAACATTAGCAATTTTAATCAAAATGAAATGTTGCTTTACCCAAAAAATGAACTTCGCACCAAACAATTCTAACGGTACCCCTTTGGGTAATAATAAACATTTAACAATATCATTATAAGCAATTTGTCTTATAACGCTTTTTATTCGAAATTTTTCACTTAAAGAGTTAATATGTTGCTCTAATTCTTTATAAAAAATTAATTCGCCACTGTCTATTTGCACAGTTGTATAATTCGATTGAAACTTTCTTTTTATTTGATTGCAATGGGTACATCCATTTTTATGCCGGTTACTCATATATATAACAATTAGGCCAATAATCCGATTACAATCAATTTTAATCTGATTATTCGCCTTATTTTTTTACATGAATATCTACACGACCATTGCGATTGTTCTTTTCTCTTTCTTTGTTCCATTCTAATTTTATTTAAGCACGCTCATGTATGAATTTAACTATATTGAAATTCTAATTTTGCCCGGTCAAAACTAGAATTCCGATTTTGACTGATGATTGTCTAGTCAAAGTTAGAATTCTAACTCTGCCCGGACAAAATTAGAATTACAATTTTGCCTACAACATATGCATATGAAATCGAAAAAGTACATTTTTTGCGAAAGTACTGACTAGTGAGCTTCCCAAGGTGAGCTCCACGGATTCCAATGAACTTTCGTGCATGATACTGCACGATGTTATAGTAAAAATAACAAAAGACTTTGAATACATAGACCGACTGAACACTACGACACCATGAAAATTTTAGCAATAACAAATGTATTCTTCGAAATATACTCCCATGTTGCGAATACCGGATCATTTTTTGCGGTAAACCGCGGTATTTATCCGTTCTGCGGTAATGGGAGCCGGTAACCGGATCGGTAAAACCGCGGTTAACCGCCGATTTTCATGCGGTTTTTATTACATGGGTCACTTTTTGAAGGAATATATTTGAAAGAACATATTTATTATTGCTAAAAGTTTCAGTGTTTTAGTGTTTAGTCTGTCTATTTATTTATTAACAAATTTTCAAATCAAAATTAATTTATTTCACTTTCTGATAACTCACAAAAAATAGTGCAATGTATTCATTAGAGAACATCGTGCAGTATCCACGGGCAAAAGTTCATTGGAATCTATGGAGGTCAGCTCGGGAGGCTCCATCGTGAATTGATTCTATTAAAATATTATTTTATTAACATAATGATGGATCTCGTTGTTCGTAATTACTTGTAATTATGAATATGACAAATGTTCATGTGTGCCAGTAACAACATAATGTGATGCAGATGAATAAAGTTTGATACATACTGGAAAACGATTATACTATTTTCAACAGACTTCCTTTAGTGAGAGTACTTCGACAATAGCGATAGTCATGTTTCTAATGAATTTTAAAGTATTTGCATAGTTTGAACTACTTCAAGACACTAATTCCTAGCCATTCGAATGGCTCGTAACGAGTTTTCTCCCCCTTGACACAACCTTTACTACTACTAGTGGCCTAGATAGAAAAGACAGAATGAATTTCACATCGAAAGCATAGCCGTGTGGGTAATTGCTAATGACTTTTTAATCATCGCTTGATGCTCGGCCAGGAATTTCCTGTGAAATAACTTAACGCGTCTCCTAAAGCAGAGATGCAGCTATTGTTGTGAAAATTAGAAAATTTATATCATATCAACCTAACATTTAAAAGATAAAAACTACATGCCTTGAAATGCATCTGATTGTCAGGAACAACCGTCGAGGCAGCTGATCCTGAATGATCTTCTGTTGGATCATCATAACAAGTGGTACTCACTGGAATAAACTAAAATATATTTATAATCATGATTTCATTTTTGTAAAGATTTTTGTTTAAATAATAAAATTATCCTTTGAATCAATTTATTTGAAGTAACTAATCATCATCAAATATATGTTTCATGTGAAAAAGTAGAAGATTATCGAAATGAACTTTGATTGTTAAACAAAACGTCGATTAATAGTTTTTGATCAATGCACTATGATGCCTCATCTTCCTCCATCCTCTGACATGAGAATTATCTATATTTCATTTCAAGTGATTTCTTCAAAATTCTTCCTGAAATACCCAATATCTACAGACTACTGTTTGTTAGAAAATTTTCTCCACAATGTAGATAACATCTAAATTTAGTTTATTTGTGTTTGTGTACGAATTGCAATACAAAAGTATATATTAAACAGCTCAGAAAAAAGGTCGTTTTCAGGCCACAATCGACTCCATAATGGACGCAGGCATGTGTCCGAAGATCGAATGGATCAAACGCAAATTAACTCATCATAGCTGTTATTTTAAATAAAACTAGTTCAACTGGTCATCGAAAATGAATGAATGAATGAATGAATGAAGCAGGGGATAACCATCGATTAGCTCTATCACTGGATCGATCAATTCAAATGTCCTCCACTAGTACGATTCGTATATTCATCTTAATAAGATTTTTATGAATAATTTTAAAAATAATTCGAATTATTAATTATAATAAAAAATATTTCATTGTTTTATTTAACGCCATCTTTTGTTAAATTGTTCACTGATGTTTCAATATCAACCAATAAACCATCATTATTGTTTAATTTGTTGAGTCATCGTTATCATTCACAAACCGAGCTTACCTACTATTTGACTATTTTACTACTTAACAAAAATCAATCATGGTCGAATTAAGCGATATTGAAATGAAAGAAGTTGATCCATCCAGTGGATTACAAACAACTGGTACAACAACAGCAACATCAAAAGATGACAAAAAAGATGCTGATACTTTAACATTAGATGGTTTGAATTTAATATTTTACTTCATTTTGTTGTTTGAACCTTAGTTTGTTTTTTTGTTCATCGAATAGATATTAAAGAACAAGTTCGTACAATAGAAAAAGCAGTGAATTCAAAAGAATCTCGTTTTATTCTTCGTGTATTACGTGGACTTGCATCAACACGAAAACGTTTAAATGAAGATGTCATTCGTCGTCTTATTCTCTTTTATTATGGTTCAAATTCAACTGAACGAGAAATTCTTCTTGGATTTGCACAATCTGTCTCTCAGGTTAATATTTCCAATGAATATCAATAAAAATAAGATGTTTTCGTTTTTGTAATCTATCTAGCCAATGGATGTCGATATGGAAAAAACTGTTAGTTCACCAGCACCAGCTACAAATGAAAAACAATCTGTGTCCCGTCCTCAAACATCTCGAGCACGTGCTGCTTCATTACCGGAAGTTGATTTATATATCCATTTAATTGTTTTACTATTTTTAATTGATCGAAATTCATTGAAATCGGTATAAGAAATTTGTCGAGTGATTTATATTATTTTATTAAAATTCTAGGCTCTTGACTGTGCAAAACGTTTAGTTGATAAAACGAGTGTACTTAATCGTCGGACACTTGACTTATTATCAGCTAAATGCTATTTTTATTATGCACGTATATTTGAATTAAATAATATGCTTGATTCGATTCGACCGTATGTTGTTTTATGAAGAATTACATCGAATATATTTTATTTTTCCATTTAGATTTTTACATAGTCGATTACGTACAGCAACATTAAGAAATGATTTTGAAGGCACAGCTGTTTTAATTAATTTATTATTAAGAAATTATCTTCACTATAATTTATATAGTCAAGCACAAAAACTTGTACTTAAATCGGTCTTCCCAGATCATGCATCAAATAATGAATGGGCACGATATCTCTACTATCTTGGTAAGCATTTTTGATCATTTTTCAGAAAATAAAATTTCAAAATGTCTAGGTCGTATACGAGCAATGCAATTAGAGTATACGAAAGCTCATCAACATTTATTAACAGCTACTCGAAAAGCACCGCAACAAACAGCTATTGGCTTCCGACAGAATGTAAATGATACGATTGAAACATAGAAGGAAATAGTAATTACAATTCTTTTGTTTTAGGCCCATAAATTTCTTATAACGGTTGAATTATTATTGGGTGACATTCCGGATAAGGCAACATTTAAAAATCCTCAACTAAAACGTTCACTAGATCCATACTATCAATTGACATTAGGTACGAAAGAATAGTTTTGATTGATTACTTAAACCTTTTCTTTTCATACTTTTTAGCTGTTCGTGCTGGAGACTTAAGCCGATTTAAAGAAGTACTTGATACATTTTCTGAACGATTCCAACAAGAAAAAACTTGGTCACTTATTATTCGGTTACGACATAATGTTATTAAAGCAGGCATCAAAATGATTAGTTTATCGTATGCTAGAATATCATTTTCTGATGTTGCTCAAAAATTACAACTTGATTCACCTGAAGATGCTGAATATATTGTTGCAAAAGTGAGTCTTGTTTTTCTAGAGAGATACTAATCAAAATGAAGAGTACTGGATCGGTTGCGTCAGTAGAATAGAACTGAAAAAATGCAGTTTCCTTTTTTTATTATCTTACAATCAACATCAAATATTTAGGCTATTCGTGATGGTGTAATAGAAGCAAGCATAGATCATGAACAAGGTTATGTGCAATCACGTGAAATCACCGATGTTTATACGACGCGTGAACCAATGAATGCGTTTCATCAACGTATTGAATTTTGTCTTAAAGTTCATAATGAATCAGTTAAAGCAATGCGTTACCCGCCAAAGAAATACAATGAAGATCTGGAAACAGCTCAGGTGAGATCAATTTTTTGTTTAGTTTTTGTCTATTGGAAAAATGTTTTATGATTTTCTAGGAACGACGAGAACGTGAACAGGAAGAGTTAGAATATGCAAAGGAAATGGCTGACGATGAAGATGATTTTTAAAAAGGCAAAACAATAATTAGAACATTGACTTTGTTACTTACTGTCATTTGTTAGTTTTCTTTTTTTTTCTTTTATCCTAAATAAAATCAAGATGCTCGCAAAGTCGATCAATTAAAAAAAAAACGATGAACTCTTAGTGTATATATTTAAACTCAACAAATATATTTGAGTAGTAGAAAAATGAATGAATGTCTCATTAGGTAAAGTTTTTGAGTATTCAAAACCTTCAGACCCGAACAGAACAAACAAATAAGACGGAGATTTCGAAGTTTTGACAAATCATCGCACTAGTTTTATTCTCTTATAGATCTCCTTAAATAGAGATAAATATCTATGTTTTATTATTGACAAGATACTCACAGAAAGATTTCATTTATTTCATGAATAATTTTCCTTGTTGAAACAAAAATTCGAATGAAATAATTCTCATCATATCTAAAAATTTCTATTTATTTTTGTATTAAATATTGCTCAATTGAAGCATTAGATTTATATTTTGATAAGAATCATGAATGATTAAGATATATACCAAAATTATAAGTGGTCCTTAATATGAGGGTTTTATAGTTGACAGGTAACCGATAGAAAGAAAAATAATGATTCTACCTGAAGCAATCATCGCATCGTCTGTTGGCATTCATTCTGGATATGAAGGAAAAAATAATAGTATGACCGAGTGTTTGTTGACTATATATTATTCTCGTCTCATACGATGTCGTTTAGTATATAATATCGTTACTCGTGATCAAAGCGAAATATTCGTAGTGATTATTCATCAGAACATTTTTGATAAAGTAACCAAATCATATAATAAAAATACAAGTAAAGTTTTTCAATAGAAAGTTTATATACTATGGTGCCAACAACAAGTAAGTAATCTTTCAGACCCGAAGTAAATTGTACTTATCACATTTAATTCGGAACCGCTAATATTTTTAGCCTTGTTGATGATCATGTTGTTTACAACACCAACATTATTATCGGCTAAAAGACATGATCGACGTTTATTCTTTAGTAATCATAAAACAACTACTGTAGCTACGACACCTGATGAGGGTTCAAATGGTAATATGTTTAGTAATTGGCTGAGCGGACTCTTATCAAAAGATCCAAATAGTAATGATAAACATTCGAGTTCATTAGGCAAATTGGCTTTATTGAAATCTTTCTTATCTTCGTCATCATCGTCGACTGGTAAAGGCAGTAAACTGAATGCAATCTTCGAATTTTTAAGTACTAGTGCTAATGATGATCAAAATAAAGTATCATCATCATCATCAAAAGTAAATAGTTTACTAGCATTTTTCGGCGGTCAAGGGTCAACATCTAATAATTTTCAATTAGCAATGAAATTAATGAATATTGCACAAGGCAAAGGTGGTTTAAGTTCATTGAATAGTAGTGATATGAAATCACTTATTGGTTTTGTTAGCGGATAAATCAAATGAAATCCAATAATCGTATACTTTCTTCTCTCTCGCTCTCTCTCTCTCTCTCAACACTTTCGCCATTCTTCTTTTTGTCCTTCTTTAATAATGAATAAATATATGTGCAAATTATCGATGTATTGTTTTGTCTTTAGTGACATATGTTTCTAGGATGCTGTCTTATTTCAATTCAATAATCATTCACTCACATACACTCTTCCTCTTCTAGTCTTTTCTGTCTAATTGTTTCTATTCGATGCACCTCCTGCTGATTGGATTGAACATGAAGAGAGTCTAGAAAGAAAAAAAGAATGTACGTGACGCCCATGTCTGATTATAGAAGTCATTTGGTTTTCTATTTTATTTTGAAGAAGAATTATTGCTGTAACATTCATCATCACTGACAACATCAATATCGTTCTCCTCACAACATTCATCTTCGTCGACCCCTTCTTCGGACAGTGGACTACCCGATGTATTTTGTAATTGTCGACGAACTTGTTTTTTATGTTTCATACGACGATTTTGAAACCTAATATATGAAGGAGAAGAAAAAACAGAAAATAAATAGTTTCAAGAAGATTTTCAGATAATACTGACCATGTTTTGACCTTGAATTGATTAAATCAATGGTTAGAAACAAAAAAATTATATGAAAAGCTAGTGGAAAATTTCATTTACCTGTGCTTCTGATAGATTAAGTGCATTAGCTAATTCCACTCGTTCTGGTGTACTTAAATATTTTTGTCCATCGAATCGTTTTTCAAGACCATTAAGTTGATGATCGCTGAACACTGTTCGAGCTTTTCGTCGACGGCAATGTTTAAGCGAATGTTCACTGTTAAGATAGGCATGAAAGCTCAAACCTAAAACGATAGACATTACAGATGGTCAATCGACGTAATATACGCGCTAGACGATGAGACACGCCCTGTCTGACCTTGAGATGAAATCACGCCTTTTCTTTTACTCAACAGGTGTGACTTTTCCTTTTGATTAAATAATTAGTTAGACAATGTTCATTGAACATAGAAAATGAATCCTGATCCTTTTCTTTTTTTTTCTCAAAAAAGAAAATAGAAGAAATAATACAAAAGAGCTTGAGCCGATTAGTAAAATATTCTCATTAGGATAACTATTCGTCATACTCATTAGTCACCTCATCATTATCATTCAACGACAACATTATTGTCGTCTTAGTGGACATGCAAAAAAAAACAGAAGGACAGACGGAAAAACGAAAGAGAGAAGACGATGACGGCCACCCGTTGATTTTTCTATCAAAAATGTCTACCTATCAATGGATTAGTTTTTTTCTTCTACTCTAGCATACCATGGAAAAAGAATGGATGTAATTCAGGTTTAATAGCAGCATATTGATTAAATTGATTAGGTGGTTGAAAAAAATTAAGTGATATTGGTGTCATATCATTAGATAAGATAGAAATAGATTCTTTGGGTGGATTGAACGGGATTGATATTGGCGCAGGTGCTGGTGGCGGCAGTGCTGCTACTGATGACGCTGTTGTTGGTGGTCGTTTAAAAGCAGAGAGTAAATCATCAATCAAAAAACTACTCTTGATCATTGCAGCCATATTTATGTTTGTATTTCAATCAAGTGATAATAGATGCTCATCAACATTTTTTTCTCTCTTGTATTTGTCTCACTAGTAATGCAAGTGACAAGAATTTCCATAACAAATTGCGAGCAATCAAAATGAGACGGAGACAGGGAGAGAAAGGAAGAGAGAAAGCATTTCATTGGTACTCAACGTTGAAACGAGAAAACATAATCCTCATTGGACGATAAAATTGTTCGCTCTCGCTTTTCTCTTTCTACGACTAATTTTACACTAATATGCTTTGAAGAGGAAAAAAAAGAGTTTTATTCGGTTCGACGTCTTAGTTAGCATATTGGAGGATTTTCTATATAAGTCGATGTATTTTGGTCCTCTCTTTTCTAATTAGTACGGATGATGTTTGAATAGCATGCAATGCTTTTACAAGTAGAAATAATTGAATCAGATCAATCCATAGTATTATTTTTTTAGACATCAGAATAGAAGAAAAGAAAAGGTAATAAAAGCTGATGAAGAGATTCGGAAATGAATCGAGATTTATCAATTTAGATACATTGCTCATACAAGTGTATTATGGCCTGGAAATTCCATTCTCGTACATTAGTCATTTTCATTGAGATTAGTTCAAGCTCTTATTTGATGTTTCTCCAATGATTTCTATGTTGACTTGAATGAAAAGAAAACCCTATGTTTTGCAATACAACTTGTAATATATTTCGAACTCTAGAAACAATAGAAAATACGTTTCCTGCTACAACACACAGTTCTCAATGAAAAAATTGATTTCTTTTTCTCAATGTTTCATCCATATTAGTAAATGTGCGCTAATTCATAGTAGGAAAGAGTTAGCCTGGAAAAATTTATGTCATAGTAATATTCAGTTAACTGAGTTCTACTCTTTTTTGAAGTTTTTTTTCTCTAAATTATCTCTAAATCTTTCAAATCGATACTGCATGTCAACTTGAAGTACCTCGGTTAGAAAATTATGCGAAGCAGTATAGAGTAAAAGAACTTAATCAATCCCATCAGATTATTCCATATTTGCATGAATGATTACATAAGCAATGAGCTAGTCGTGTAACTAGAATATTTTAAGTTTCTATGGAATTAGATTGCTAATAATTTTGAGGCATATTTGATGAATAATCATGGAAAATACGTGTTCATTGTGTAAAAAAAAGAAATTATTATTGTTTTTTCTTGTTCTGAACATGATTTTTAAAATAGCTTAGTTGTAATTTCTAATTTTTCACTGTGGTTTATCCGAATTATTACTGTATTATGTAATCAAGATGAGTCATTGTGTTTTGTTGCGATAAATAGATCCTTGCCAAAATCAAAAATCTTTTCATTGAAAAATCACCATAAACGGAAATTTCTCATTTATAATTTTTGCATTTTGATATTACAAAGATTAATTTTCTAAATAATACTTATTTTAAAAGTTACGTCTTCTGATACAATGCATTAGCAAATATTAATAAACAAATATATATATATATATAAGTTATATATAAAAGGTCCGTGATACTAAATATGATTACTAATTATGTTTTCGTACCACCTATAGAACTTACTTGGGAATCCTTGAAATAAATCTTTTCATTGAAATATTTAATCCTTACTTATTTAATTAGTACTCTTGAGAAAATATTGAATATTCATCAAACCTATTTCATGTTTAGTCTACTAGTTGATTAAGTTTTTTTCTTCTTCTTTCATAATATCAATGGAAAAGCGTTTATTTAACATTTTCTATAATTCCATCAATCATTACTAATGTGCAATACTTTTAAAAGTAGCAATAATTTAATTATTCGAAATGTATATCATTGTGTCAGTATCAATTATTTCATTAAAAAGGTAACTAATTAGAAACGAATAAAAGCTATATATATATATATATATATATATATAGGCCACAAATGGCAATGTCAGATGCAGTTTTTTTTATTCTTCTTCTTCTTCTTCTTTCTATTAGAGGTGTCACTCACTTACACACACATATAGAGTTTGCAACAATGATAAACACTATCGAGAAAGAACCCAAAAAAAAAATGTACAAATATTATTTTAAATTTATGTTATACGCTGTTGTAAAGCGTTAGCTTCAAGACTAGCCAATTCTTCTTGTGTCATTTCATGTTGTTTATTAAGTTCAGCTATTTGTTGAACAAGAAGAAGACGTTCCTGTAAGATTTTTTCTAATATTGTTTCATTCTAAATAGAGAGAAAAAAAAACGAATTTTTGTTGACATCATGGGAAATGAAATATTGAAGAATATATGTACATTTGAAGTCGTTGGTGCATTCGTATTTGAAATTCCACCATAATAACTAGTAGTTGCACTTCTCATCATACTCGTTGTTGAATTACTTTTGGGAAGACCCGATTCAAACAAATCATAGGATGATGGCATATCAATTGGACTAATCATCGATGAACGTGATTCTGATTCCATGTTTCGACGTTGAGGAATTTGTTTTGAAAAATCATTCATATTACTTTCGGTTGTAGAAACAGCTGATGTGGGTCGTGATATTTTTTTCGACACATCATTTGCTTCATTGTAAGTTGAATAACGATATTGATTCATTTCTGTTGGTGTAGCTAAATGTGTAAAGAAGCAAAAAAACGCTAGTTCGTAAAATAGAGGAAAACTTACTACTACTCATACGTTGAGTAAATGTCATTAATTCATCGGTTGCATTTGTTTTTGGTCTTTGAGGAGCATTATTATGATTACTTAACCAATTTTGTCTTGGTTCAGCTACTTGAAAATCTGCTGAATCTCGGCGTAAACGAGCTGAATTTATCGTTGATTGTTGTTGTTGTTGTGGATTACAATTACCAGCACATTTTTTATTTGATATCAGTTCATTATTAACAAGTTGACAAACAGTTTGCATCATAGTTTGTAACATTGATATTTGATTTTCAATTTTGTGTTGAAAATCTAATTGAGCTTTAATCACAACTGAAAGTTGATCTTTAAGAGTGTTTGTTTCTTGACTGGGTTGATTTCTTGAACCAATAGCACACTTAAAATTGATAGAAAAATAAGAAATATTCTATGAAACAAAAAATCAGCAAACAAAATCAGTTTACTTGTTTAACGTGACCTGTAAGTGCAATAAGTGCAGTAACAAGTGCTGTACTACATGTATTTGATTGAACATTTAATGACGCGTCATTTTTATCTGCTTTAAATCCTGTTATAGTTTCTAAATCATGCAAATCAGACGATAAACGATCGAGTAACTAAATAAATGAACGTTTGTATTTTTCGTTTCAAAATTTCGATTATCTACTTGTTTTAATTGATTGGTTGATAGATTGCCAGTTGATTCAGTAACCGCGGTTTTGCCACCTGGTTTAGATACATCAGACATAAATGAGACATTGTTAACTGAACGAGTTCCAGCTGATTGCTGACGAACTTGAGAATAGAGATTCGGATTACGAGCATTCGTACGAGCTGATAAACAATTTTGTTGATGTTCATGATCGTTTAATTGTTCATTATTGTGATGATCATTCTTTTTATTTGGACGACTTAAACGAACAGGTTCATTTTCGAGTTCATCGTCTTCACCAATATCAGCTGAGCTAACTGATAAATTATCTAAATAAATATTAGAGATTGGAAGCTATTGAAAAATAAATACTACAATACCTTCTTCAGATTGATTCCAATCGGCACCACCTGGTGAATTTAAATTTCTTGTTGCTGATGGCCTAGAAATAACTATTAGAAATAAAACGAAATTTTTGCTTCTTTTTCCTTACTTCGATGAGGACGATGTTGGTTTTTTTGTATGGTTATCATGTAAACTTGTAAAATGATTTTTTCCGCTGCGTAACTAAAATGGATATTTTAATTAAATGGTTAATTTAACAACAAAATATTGGCTTTTGTTTTGTTTTCGTACAATGCTATTTTTCGGAACCGGAAGTGCTTTATCCGAACGAGAATGCATTAAATGATTTGATCTTTGCATTAATTCATCAACCTAGAAGAAAAGTTCTTTGATTTTTTTTCATTTCTATTTCTTGAGAAAAATATTTACATCACGTTCATTAAATAAGATTTCACGTAAAATACCCAATTGATTACTATTATTTTTTCTTGCATCATGAACCGCTAGACAAAACAAAATTTTTCTATGAATAAATAATAACAAATGTATTCTATCTATTTAAATACCTTTGGCTAACAGTTTTCGTTGTTTTTCATCTTGAATCAATTGTAAATTACGTGATTGATATGCTTGCTTTCTTCGTGACTAGAATGAAGTGAAATCAATTCAAAAAATATCATGATCAAATCTACTTACGGCTTCATCATCACTTAGTCGATGTTGTGAAAGGTCACCAATCGACGTCTAAAATAAAATTATATGAAAGAAAAAGAATTTATTTAAAACAAAATATTTCATACATCCCAATCTTGACGCTTTTTTAATGTTGATTTCTTTTGCGGACGACGAAGATTACTTTTCGACATGATGCTCTTGAAGTGTAAATCTTTTATATATGAACTACAAAGGTAAAAGAAATAAATTGAGCCATTAGAAAGGCATTACTATGACGACTGTCCTCTTTTTCTCTTCGTTGAAACTGTTGAATCAGCGGCATCTATTTATAATAAAATGCCAAGCAACGGTGCTATTTTGTTTAATAGATATGTTTTGTTACCGCAAGGTCGATAATCGTCTTTAATCAAATCGTTCGAAATGTTGAAAGCAGGCTTACTGCCATCACCGGTAATTAATGCATTATCGTCGAATTTAGGTTCATCAAAAAATAAAATTGATACACAAACTTTTGTCGAAGCAAAATCAGGTTTGTTAATTGAATTTTATTTTTCAATAACGATTATTTATTTATTGCCATTGATAGATACTCCGAGTGTAAGAATTTACTTTACTGTCGATGGTACGAAACCTAGTCCATTTCAACCATTCAAAACTGGTGTTGTTTCAACATATCTATATCGTGGAGCATTTCGTCTTGGACCCGGACGACGTGTTGTCAAAGCAGTTGCTGTTACAACGTAAGTAACAATGTTACTAAACGATTTATATTATACTAATTTCGTTTTTTTTCTAGTGATGGATTACGTGAAAGTCATGTAACAACAAAATATTTCGATGTCAATGATATGTATTCGGAGAGTTATGTAGAACAGCCAGATGAAAATATTTATGTTGAACACTCCTTTGTTGAAATGGATAGAAGTCCAGTAGGCTTTTTCTTAGTAAAATAAGAATTTAGTCATATTTATATACATAACATAGGAACGAACTCCACCACCGAAAAAGCAGAAAAAACCACGTACACATACTGTTCATCATCGATCTAGTTCAGCTAGTCAACCAAAAAATGATTCTGGACGAACACCATGGGATGATAGTGTTAATGTTGAAGGTAGTATTGAAGGTCCAATTTCAGCTGTTAATTATGCTGGTACACAAATCAATATTTGGGGTACGCCTGGAGGAAATTTGACTGAAGGATTAATGAGTATTGGTGATCCGAATAGAAATCCGAATTATGGATATATGACTGAACAAATGCTTCAAGTAAGGTTAATAGGAAAAAGAAATGCTGTCTTCTTCAGCATGATCATACTTTTAGCGTTTACAACCAGCGAGAAATCTACCGGTTGCTCCACCAGAACCACCTCGAATTACTGATGTTACTCACGAAGAAAATTTCTGGGATCGAAAAACAAAACCATATAGTCCAGCCAATGGAGATCTGGAGAAAACACTTGAACATATAATTTTAAATACTTATAACTACCTTACAGATGATGAGGAATTAGCGGGACTTTTTGCTTGGAAGAAATTTGGACAAGTACTTAAAACTAATTATTATTATTATTATTATTATTACATTTCCTTTTTTCTTTCATAGATTGAATCAGCTCGTCTTATTGAAAACGCTGGTAATTATCAAATAGTGACTACACTCAGAAAACATCCTGACGATCGAACAATTCCTAAAGACCCTACACCTGTTCCTAAACCACCTAAACGTATACGAACACCGCCTCCACGAGAACGTATACCGATTCCAACGCGAAAACCAGAAACACCGCCACCATCACCACCACCACCATCACCTACCCGTCCAGGCATATCAACCCATGAAGACCAACATGAGCCTCGCTTCTATACAGAAGAATCTGTGGTAAATTATTTTCATTATTTTGGTTTGTTTTTCAAACGTTTTCTTATTTTTATAAATAGCAACAAGGAACACTTGTACCATTCGCTGAATTTAATGTTGAACGAGGTAAGGGAAAAAATAAAAGTCAAATCATTAAAATTATCTTTGCCTACGTCTAGATTGTGATAATCTACAAAAAGCCATGAAAGGTCTTGGAACAGATGAAAACATGCTCATTCATATTCTTGGCAATCGAAGTAATGATCAACGTTTGCAAATCCGTGATAAATATAAAACCATGTTTGGTCAAGTAAACGACTTTCATAATTATCTTTAATTGTTTTAATTTAAAATGAATTTCTATTTAGGATTTGATTAAGGATATAAAAGGTGATACATCAGGAAATTTTAATAAAATATTAACAAATCTCTTGTACTCACCGGTCGAATATGATTGTCATGAATTACGACGAGCTGTTAAAGGAATTGGTACCGATGAAGAAGCATTGATTGAAATTTTAGCAAGTCGTTCAAATAAACGTTTAAAAGCCATTAATGAAAATTATCAAACACGTAAATATTTTCTTCAATCGTTTAAAAATTTCGTTCGTTTTTCTTTTTATTGATAGTATTTAATCGAGCGCTCGAAAAAGATATCGTCGGAGATACAAGTGGATATTTGAAAAAATTATTAGTTGCATTATCGCAAGGCAAACGGCCAGAATCGAATGATGTTAATCAAGACGAAGCAGAAAATGACGCTAAAACTTTATTTGAAGCCGGCGAGAAAAAATGGGGAACAGATGAATCGAAATTTTTAGAAATTCTTTGCAATCGAAGGTGAAAATTATTTGCATTTGTTTGTTTTGTTACGTGTACGCTCCTTTCGTTTTCAGTAATGCACACCTCAAAGGAGTATTTGAAGCTTATCGTCAATTCAGTAAAAAAGATATCGAAGATGCTATTAAATCTGAAACAAGTGGAAACATACGTAAAGGCTTATTAGCCATTGGTAAGTACACGAGACCATTACTCTAACGAGCAAAGCATAACATCCGACTCTGACCGGCTGCTTGAACTTGGACTTCTACGAGACCTATCTATTTGCTTGGGAAAAATTGTAATAATTTATAAAAGACGGGTGAGAACGAGAAATGAGTGAAATCTCCCTTTTTGAGTTACAATTGAGAACTTCTATTTGTAAATCAACTTAACTCTCGTATTTTAAAGTAGGATTGCGATACTTAAATAAATCATAGTTGGATTTCGATCTTTTATTTTTCAGTTCGAGTTATGCGTAATCGACCAGGTTATTTTGCTTACCAACTCAAGAAAGCATTAAAGGTATGTTCTATTGTTCACTCGATTTGGTTTCTATAACAAAAAAGAATAAATTTTAGTCTGTATTCTATTAAAAGATATGCCAGGTAAAAAAAACATTGAGAGAATCATTGGCATAAAGTGCATTTCGCTTGAATATATAAACTCATATTGCATGCTAAACTTTCACTATGGTTTTATAAGAGAGACATACATTTCAATTTTGATCAATGATAGATAGTAGAATTGTGAGAAAAAGAATTGAATATAGGCTAAAACTTTCACATTCCATAGAGAACACATATAAATATATTAGGACATTTTAGGGCATAGGAACTGATGAAGATGAACTAAATCGTGTCGTTATATCACGCTGTGAAGTTGACATGGTTCAAATAAAAGAAGAATATGAAACTTTAATGAAACGTACATTAGAAAAGCATGTTGAAGTAAGTGAAATATTTTGTTTTCATTTTCCACAAAAATACCTATTTCAGAGTGATACAAGTGGTGATTATCGGAAAATTCTTCTTGAACTATTGAAAGATCCAACTAAACGAACTGAAAAGGCTGGCAATGGTAAATCTAACTACATTCACTTGTTCTATTAACAATAGCTGATTTCTTTTTAGAAAAATATGAAAACGTCGAATTACCTGGATATAAACAACCGGAGATTTACAAGGAAGATATTATTGTAGATGTTATTGTTTTCTAATTTTTCGATGTTATACGATTGAATTTATTCTATAGCAACAAGGAACAATGAAGGCAGCTCCAAATTTTGATGCCGGGCGAGATGCAGATGCTTTACGAAAAGCTATGAAAGGTTTTGGTACGGACGAAAAAACTTTAATTGCTATATTAGGCAATCGAAATACTGCACAACGATTAGAAATTAAAGCTACGTTTAAAAGTAAATTGGGCCGGGTAAGTGATTTGTTAAATTTTTTTCTTTAAACTTCATAATCGATGCGTATTGAATAGGATCTGGTTAATGATCTTAAATCTGAAACATCTGGTAATTTTTCAAAATTACTCGAACATCTAATGATGGATCCTGTTGAACTTGATTGCTTTGAATTGAAACAAGCTGTAAAAGGTTTAGGTACAGACGATGAAACATTAATTGAAATCTTAGCAAGTCGTAGTAATGATCGACTAAAAGCAATTGGTGAAACATACGTAAAGAGTATGCGGAATTATTTAGGTGTATCTATCTATTATTGTTCGTTGATTTTTATTTTTAGTGTATTCAAAAGCATTAGAAAAAGATGTTAAATCTGACACCAGTGGGGAGTTTCGTCATTTACTTGTCTCACTATTACAAGGACGACGACCAGAAACAGTCGAAGGTAATGTTGCAGAAGCTCAACAAGATGCACAAGCGTTTATTGATGCAGGAGAAGCAAAATTCGGAACAGACGAATCAAAATTTAATGTCCTGTTTTGTGCTCGTAGTGATGCACAAATGCGCGCAATTTTTAATGAATATGCTAAACTGACTGGCAAATCTATTGGTATGCAAAAAATATATTAGTTGTGTGTTTAATCATTGTTTTCCATTTTAATTAGAGGAAACGGTGAAGAGTGAAACAAGTGGTGATATTCAAAAGGGTATATTAGCTATTATTCGATGTGTACGAAGTCGTCCACATTTTTTTGCTGAACAAATGCGGAAATCTATGAAGGCATGCGAAATTTAGCTTACCATTCTTTGCGTCTATATTTATTTAATTATAGGGACTCGGTACTAAAGAATCAACATTGAATCGCATAGTAATAACACGATCGGAAATTGATCTTGTTCAAATAAAGGAAGCCTATAATCGTCTATTCAATCGTGAATTGGAACGTGATGTTAGTTCAGAAACAAGCGGCGAGTATAAAGCCCTGCTTTTGGCATTATTGAAAGATCCATCTCTACGTAGTGGATGAATAATTAAAATTCTCCATTGACAGATTGAACAAGAAACAGTGTTGATTTTTAGCAATAAAGAAGACGTTTGTGATATTGTGCATACGAATATATATTGAATTAAATATTGATTTTTGTTAACATGTTGTGCTTTAACTATCAGTAAAATAATTTATTTCCGAATATTAAATTTTACATTGAGAATTTCAACACAAAAAAAAGTGAGCGGAAGAACGCGAGTTTCTTTATTTCTCGACGTTTTTTAAAAATGCACTGGTTCACTTTTACTAAAATACGATGACTCCATTTTTCATAGATGTGCGTAAACAACATAAATACAACAAAGAAAAAACATTTGTCTCATATTCTACAGCATTTCTACTTGATATACCTAATTCCGACTTATTCAGTGATGCGTAGGAAAATTCTCCATAAATAAAGTGCATTGCCTTTATGACATTGGCATGTTCTCTATGTTGAATATATAGAACGCTGGTTTAAATAAGTATTTTTGCGTTAGTCTTCAACAAAGGAAGTGATTATGTTATTATCAAATATTAAAATACATTATATTTTATATAGAATAAATATTCAACGATCAGCCAACTTAAAATTAGATATACTTGATTTCAGGTTCAGTTGAAAAAACGGCGCCTTTCGAATCAGAAATCAGTTGACGGGTAGCTTTAGGATACGGTTGAAAAATTGTTTCACGAACTGAATAATAAGGCAGATCATTCGTCGATAATATAGATTCATAATAATCTTCATTTGTATCAAGACTTGAATGAAATGTTTCTGTTCGAATTTTTACTGCATATTGCCCAACTAATTGCTGTTTTTGTTGGTTTATCGGCACTACCATTTCAATCATTTTATTGGTATTAATAAGTAATGCCATATATTCTTTTTTAAATTTATTTTTATCTTTTAATAAACGATATCGAACAGTAGTTAAAACCAAAACTGATAGTAGGGCCATAAATAACATGAATACTATAACGAAAACGTCGATTTTTACAAATGAAATCATGGTCTGCTTGTATCATAAATAGTGAAAATCTCCGTTGGCTTATTCTCAATTTATGAGAGAAAAAAGAAGAAGATGCTGTTGGATTTACATATATATATATATATATATATACACTCTTCGACAAATTAATGTCCCCATAGGCTTATCTATTTGCTTTTCATAAAAAGATGTGGGCATGCTTTGCAATCAAAACAAAAACAGAACAACGATAAAAAATAGAAATATTTTCAGATTGCACGTGGGACTTGCGCAATTTGATTTTTTATTTGAATTATTAATTATCACCTACAGCAGTTTCAATATTCCTTCATCTATCTTTGAATTCATATCAACTGTAATATAATCATACGAATAAATGTGAAAAACAATATAAAAGTTTTTGCATTCCGATCAAGCACATGTCTTTTGCGGCTATTAATTCAATTTTTACTCATGCCAATTGCAGTGTTCAGCATTGAATTTAGTCAAACCTAGAAGATTACAGGCAGATAGATTGATGAAAGCTCGATTTCTTACTTTTCGTTAATTAGTGTTTCCACGCTTCATTTTTTTTCTTACAGAACTATTCTCGCTTTCGTTATTCTCTAGCTGTACACATGTAGATGTACCAATGATTAGCCTGAGATAGTTTATCCATCATTCATACAGCCGTGTGCACAATGCATTACTGAATACAGAAGGAAAGGAAGACGAGATTAATAGTCGCTCGTGAAAACAAAACATCAACTACCATGTTTCTGTTATATTGGTAATATTCCCTAGGGCTACTAAGTTGGAGATTGTTATCCGTTCGATCGTATAGATTTGTTTTATTTTCGAGCGCTCAATTAATTTGGTATGTATTAGAGAAACTTCGATCATCATGATGCTGTGTGTAAAACGTTGCATACATATGAAGTTGGTGTACATAAATCTTGAATATTATTACCCATAAACGTGAGAATAACTTGACATAGTCGATTACTATGTTCGTTGAAGTTGTTACGCAGAGTATCGAATCTACGACCATGAGAACCAGTACATCGACGAAGTGTGTACAATTGCCGAGTGCTGCTAAATTTGCAAACAACACGATAGCGCACGATTCCGACTTAAATTCGATTTGCCCTTCTTTCTTATTTTTTTTATGAACTTCTCTAATGAAAACCCTGCACCATGGAAGAATTAAAAAGTAACTTTAATAGTAGAATATGTTATAGTACTTAATAGAATCCATCTTTTGCTTAGTTTTCATCGTATCCAACTTTCATAGGCCTGATCTTCGTGCATTATCTTTTTCTTTCTATGATATTTCATCGTTGATTACGTAGAAGGACACCGCACTTCAATTTCCTGCCAAGTCACAGTAGGAAGCACAACAACCGTATCCAAAAAGAAAAAAAACTTAATTAGCAAACAACTGATAAAACATCCTTGCGCTGAAATGATTTTTGGTCTACACAAAAATAAATTGATATTTGGTTAATATGTAAGATGAAATTTTGAAAATCACTACGTAAATAATTATTGCATGCTTCGCTTTTTTTCGTACGAATTTTTGTCATGAATATTATTGTCACCATCGTAGAAACCCTAAAAAGATAACCTTCAATTTCTTTGTGTTACGGTAAATATAAATTTTGCAATGAGATGTAGAAGAAAATTTGCAAAAACAGCTGGAGGACAGACAACGCCTCCATGATCCGTTACTTAGCTTCTTATTATCACAGTTATATTGCATAGAGTTGAATCCCATCTCATCCTGTTTTGAAAATTCTAATCAAATATGATACAGGAGAATAAGAAAATTTTTCATCTAAGAATAAGAAAAAAGATTGTGCTTGATTTCATTGAATGCAACATTACAGATATTAATTTTACCACAAAAATGAAAGCACTTTCGTTAATACAACGAATGTTGTACTGATAGGATTACTTCGAATGCTATGGCAATTATCAAGCGTATATTAGTAATACTCGTTATGTCTAATTCATGGAAAATCGCTTTTTTTTCTCTCGAGCTTCTTAATGTCAGACTTCCTATCGGCCTTCAATGGTAGTTAAATTCAAACTCATTGTGACTTACTAAAAATAAACGTCTGGAAAAGGAACGTAATATTTTTTTTGTTCTAAGTGAAGATGGTTCTTCAATTAAGCGTAAGTCCCGGAAATTAATCTAGAATGCTTTGAAATATTATTTCATTCGAAGCGTAAAAACTAATTGATTCAATAATATACGATAAATAAACAGGTAATATCAGAAAGTAATTAGAATTAAAGAAAACTTCGATTCAACCGATTTGCGCATAGAAAACAAAGCTCATATTTTTCAAAATATCAAATGACAAAAATAATTAATGAATATGACAAAGTATCAATCATCGAAAGATTATCGGACACGAAGCACTGTCAATCTATTATTAATAACCTTTTCATTTTAAATCACTTAGAAGCAGTTGCAATTTTGATTGAATCTTGTTTTATTTTCTCAATTATTATAGTTAATTCAATGATAACAGACGTGACATGATCTATCGATCGTGTATTTCAAAATTAATTTCGCCGATCTCTTTGAAGTCATGTGTATTGGAACTAAAAGTTTACAAATTCAATCAAAACCTTTCTCATCTATTTAACTTTCGATGTAGAACTGGAACAGCAGCTGTCATGTCAAGTTATAGAGAATATATGGTATCCCCCACATTCGTCCCACGAAATTAGTGCCATCTTTTTTTACCCTAATTCGTCCCAGTTAAAAATTATTTGATTCTTAACTCGTCCCATTCTATACGAGAATATCAATTAACATGAGAGAAAGTCTGGCTATATTTTATTAATTATCATCCAATAAGAAAATAGAGAAGAGATAAACACACCCACACCCTTCGCTTCACAGTATATTGAAAATCCAAATAATTTAGTACTTGCTGATTTCGTTCACTAGT